GTCGCCGAGCCGCGAACCGCGCGCCGCGTGGACCGGGGCGTCGCCCCCACCCTCTATCTCTCTTGCTCTCGCACACATTCAATCATGTTCGAAGATCGAGCAGTACCTATGTTCTGCCGCCCATCCTCAGCCAGTCTCTGTCTCTCTCGCACACACGTGGCCGGCGGCGCGCGGCCCGCTTCGCAGCCGCCAGCCCGCGCCCCGCGACGGCCGTTCCAAATTTTAAATTCATTTCTGTTATTAAATCGGCGCGGTGTGTGCCAGTGTGCGCGCGAGGCTCTGTGGCGGCGCGGGCGCATATATTTCATAGAGCCCTTGGCCGGGGCCCGGCTCGGCTCGGCCCGGCCCCGCCACCCCGACGCGTGGCTCGGCCCGGCTCGGCTCGGCTCGGCTCGGTGATTTACTGCCAGCCAATTATTTCATGGCTCCTTTGAGAACTCTCCACCAATGGCACTCACTGCTCGGGGCCCAACGGTGTGCGCGTGTGTGTGTGTGTGTCTATGTGTGTGTGTGTGCTCGCGGCGGCCCGCTTGTCGCGCAATTATGCAAACATTTGTCGGCGAGACACGGGCTGATACACACACTCACACACGCGGAGTGCTCCTCATTCCTGGGGAAACACACACAACACACACACACACACACAAACGGACGCAGAAGGAACCGCTTCGCGAAAAACGCAGTCGTAGCCCGTCCCTTGCCCTTTTGGAGGACTGCTATGCCATTCTTCTGGCCGAATTTTCTGAATGGGCAAAAATGTGGAACGTGCGTTGGGCAGGGCAGGGCAGCGGGGCGGTATGCGAAATCAGACCATTTGTATGCCCGTTCTCCACAAAGACGCTATCATAGTGGCGTGTATATTTGTGTGTGTATTTTTTTATGCACACGGGGGGAGACGGTGTGTGTGTGTGTGTGTGGGTGGGAGAGAGAGAAGGAATGAAGGGGGATGATGATAAAGCCCGAGCCAACATATGAAATACGTGCAGTGTGGCGTGGCCAGCCGAGTCCTCAGCGAACTGATTCCGAGCGGGAGGTCTCTCTCACACACTCTCAACGCGTGGCGCGTGGGTGCGAGAGAGACAGAGCGACAGGAAGCGGAGATGACTCTTGGCGATGGCTCGCGGATGTCGGCGCGGCGCTCATAGGAGCCATCGTCATGGCGGCGGTGGTCTTCGGGCCTCTCTCTCTCTCTCTCTGTCCCTCTCTCTGGGGCCGACTCTCTAAGTGGGGCTACTCTGGGTGTGTGCCAGTGGCGCCGCCTGCCGGCCCGGGCTTTAATTAGATATCGCCGCGTTGACAGGTCGCCGGGCCGCCGTGCCGCGGCACTGCACAGGTGGGTGGCCACGTGTGTCCGCGCGTCCGCCGATCGGGGACCCTGGGCCAGCCCTGGGCCTCCTCGTCGGCGTGCCCGCTCTCGGCCGCCCCGCTGACAATGCGTCGTAAAAGATGTGATAGTCTCTCATTAGGAAGTGTGGACTCGGCGTGCAGCAAATTAGCGGCTAATGCAAGCCAGCCAGCCTGCCGGCTGGTCGAAGAGTAGCTCCGTCTCTCTCGCACTCACGGGGCGTGCAGTAGGGGTGCGAGAGAGCGCGCGGCGAAACGGTCGGCGTCGGCAGCGCCGCGACCTGCGTCCCGGTGGTCATCGCTCGCTTTGAGGCCGCCGACGACGCCGCGCCGCCGCGGGCGGTGGCGGTCAGTTCGGAGGCCGCGGATGCGGGCCTGGCCGCGCCGAGGGCCGCGCACTGTAAGTGTGCAATCCGTCATCGGGAAAGGGGAAAGAGGCCGGCGGATTTATCGCTACAGTATTCGCAGAGCGTTCCCTCCACTATTCGCAGAGCGGCGACCCGTATCGCGCGCGACCAGCCCGGCCGGGAACAACAACAATGTGTGGGAGATGGACGGCCGATCGTCCAGCCCGCGGGCCTCACTGATGTCCGGGACGTCCAGGACGACGACGCCGATGGGGAAGAACCGCGCGGCGAGGTTGCGGCTGTGATCGCGGTCCACGTCACTCCGTCTCCCTCGCACCCCCAACGCGCGCCCCGTGAGTGCGAGAGAGACGGAGAGACGCGTCCGGCGTAGCATTATCGCGCGGCGCTGCGGAGAACAATGAATGGGTAATCCGTTTTGGCATCGCGGGGCCGCGGCAGTGCGCCAGGCCTCCAGCACCCCGCTGCCCATTCAGCAAGGCGCTCTGGCGCCGCGAGGCCAATCAGAGATCGGCGTTTCCCGAAGCTTTCCCCGTACGATACAGATTATCTCCTCAATATGAAAGAAACTGCAAAAAATATTCATTGCAACGTTGCTTTAAAAGCTAAAAAAAAAATGTTTAACCAACCGACCAGAAAAACAAAAACAGTTTAAAATATTCATTTGCGAGCGCCTCGGCGCTGCGAATGATATTATTTATATTACATTTACATGAGATAGAAAAAGAGAGATGCCATCTGTAAGTGTCCGGGCAGTGAGCAGTGCAGTGGCAGGGGGCGGAGCAGTGCGCGGCGATGCAGTGGCTGCCGGCGAGTCCATCAGTCATCTCCGCGCGCCCAACCGCCTCCTTTTGAGCCGTTAAAACGCTACAAGACAAGTGACTGTCGGCGAGCGGGCGGCGGGCGGCTGGGGCCTCGCGGTGAGCCGGTTACAAATTCGCCCGCAAACTGGCTCACACACACATACACACACACGTGTGCGCACACATTCACGCGCACCTACACACGCGTGCGTGCTGCGTAGCGGCGTAGCCCTGGCGTAGCCCGGTAGTGTGATCCCGGTAACGAGCCGTACTACCGCGCATCAAGGCGCACTCACACACGCTCGCACACACTCACACACACGCAACTGGGCCGCGGGCGGGGCGCACTTACGCCGCTTTGATTCGAACCGCTTCTGCCTGCAAAATGATGCGCCTCCTCCGCCGTTCCCACGAAATTGTACTAAAAGAAACAATGCGTCGTTGCGGCGCGCTCCGCGGGGCCCCCGCGGCCCCTCCGCCGAGGATAGATGGATGCGTAGATAGACGGACACGAAGCCCCCTGTGCTTCGCGCCCTTGCAGTACTAAACTGCGCGCGCGCGGAAACAAAATGTATTTATTACGGACTTTTTTTTCCCTCCAACTCTCCGGCCAGCCGGCCGTTCTTCTCGTGTGTTCACTCCGTTTGGCATACACTTGGCGTGTGGTTCTGCTCGGGCGAGCGGACAGGCAGACGGACGGACAGACAGACGGCCGATGGGGCCGATGGAGACGGATAGGCATGCAAACGCGGAGACAAATGTGACGTCGGAATGGGAGCCCCGCCAACGCCTTGGCCGCCTCGGCCGCCGCGGCTGCCTTGGCCAACGCGGACTTTGCTTCTCCTCGTGTCGTCTTTGTCTTCCGGTGCGTTACGCCAAAAGGCAGACAGACGCAGCGGACTGCTTCCGAGAGTCGTTCTGTCTCTCTCGCACTCACAGGGCGTTCCCTTGGGGTGCGAGAGAGACAGAGCGGCGACTCTCGGAGTCGGTCTTCAGGTCGCATTCCGCTACTTTCACGCGCGACCCTCCCGGCGCGCGGCGCGGCGCAGCGCACCGACAGGCCCATTCGGAAGAGCCATTCCGTCGCTCTCTGTCGCACTCACTCGGAGTGCCCCGCGGGGCTGCGAGAGAGGCAGAGCGACACTTCGGCATCGGCCGGCGGGGCGGGCGGGGCCCTCGCGGTGGGTCGCGGGCACGGCGTGGCGTGGCGTGGCGGGGGTGGAAAGGGCAGCGTGGCGCGGCACGGCACGGCGAAAGGCTGCTCCATTTCCCCGGCTGCGGCTCTGGAAAAGCCCGGCCGAGCTGCCTCTGTCTCTCTCGCTCTCTCGCACTGCCCACGAGTGCGAGGGGGACGGAGCGACGAGTGCAGCCAGTGCAGCCAGTGCATGCCGGGGGTTGCGCAAGAGGGTGGCGGCCCTGGCGGCCCTGGTGGCCGGCCGTGGCGGCGAGGCGCTCCGCCACCGTGGCGCCTCGTCGGCTTGCTCGTCGGGGACGCGGACGCGGCTCCCCAAACTTTCATGCGCCGCCAGCGAGGGCCGACGGGGAGCTGCAGCCGCGCGCTTCTTCGCTGAACCAAAACGCGCGGCGTCCCAAATTTCCAGCTGACCACCGCGACGGCGCGCGGATTCGCCGTGGTGCGTTTTTTTTTAGAGTGGCGGCGCGGGATGTGAGACACACCTGCCCGTCGGCAACGGTCGGGAAAGGGGTGGGGTCAGCCTGGTCAGCCCGGCCAGCCCGCGGGGGTCGGCCGAAGGGTCCGAAGGGTCAGCGGCGCGGAAGGGTCATCCTTTTGATCGGCCGGACAATGCAATGCGCGAGCCGCTGGACGCTGGCCGTGCCGTGCCGTGCCGCGCCGTGCCGCGCGGACGCTCGGACACTCTGCCGCGCGGCGTCGCGGGGGGGGGGGGGGGGGTAGGCGTCGCGAACTGACCGGAGGGTGCGGCGGCTACCTGATCCTGGGAACGTCCAGCGCGGCATGTATGGGAATGACAATGTCCAGCGCACTGACCACGCACCGGGGCCATCCCTCGGACACGGCGCGGCCCTCGGCGTTCTCACGGCCGTGAAGGGGTAGAGGACCTGCGCGAGGATCCGAGGATGGCACCACCTTAATTTGGCCGGGCGGAGAATGCCGCGACAGAAGCGGACAGCGCCTCCACTGTCTTGACCTGCGCGCCGAGACGGCGGTGGCGTGTTTTTGGGGGATGGTTTTTACAGGATGTCGGCGAGGTGGTGCCGCGGCCGGCCGGACTTCTGCGTCGGAGGGGCCCCCGTCAAGGCCTAGAGCGCCGCGAGGTTCCACCGCCGCGGTCCGCGCCGGGGGGCGCCGCGACGCCGAGTGCGGTGCGGCCGGCGGTACTGGCGGCGCCTCGCTACGCGGTGGTACGCCCCCTCCGGCGCCAGGCGGTGTGGCGGTGTGGCGGTGCGCGCGGAGCGGTGCGGTGCGGCAGTCCATTGATGTGCGGTGCTTGCTGTGCTGTTGTTGCAGGGCCACGTCCGCGGCTAGCGCCTTGGCTAGCGCCTCTCCCGGCGCCGGAGGGGGGGTCCTGCAGCTCAAGGCAGCCAATGGGGCCGCCGGGGCGGGGCTCACCGGGGCGACGCTGGACGGCGACCTGCATGGCCTCTTCCTGCAGCCGCAGCAGCAACAGTTGCTCGTCAAGCGGGAGCCCGAGGACCTGAGTCACCGCAAGCAGCAGCCGTCGCCGGGACTGGCAGGTGAGTGGGGAGGGGAAGGGAAGGGTTGAGGGGAGGGGCGGCGCGCGGCGCGTCGCGGCGGCGGAGAGGCGGTGGTGGGGAGCGGCGGCCCGCGGCGCACAGCCACTATCAGTACCGGCCGGGACGGCGGGCAAGCAGCACCTCGAGTCTCTGTGAGCACGGCGAGCACGGCAAACCCGGCAAGCGAGTGGTGCTAGGCGAACTAGTGCAGCCAGTGGAGCCGCGAGTGCAGCCGCGCCGTGCCAGCCACCGCGGACCGCGAGACCGCGAGCGTGCCGCGGGCCCCGGCTAGGCCGCCTTGCCCGAGCCGCCCCGAGCAGCGCGACGCTGCGACGCCGCGACGCCGCGACCGCGCGCGCGAACCTGTGAATACTACCCAGTGATACAGTGTGTGTTGTGCAGTGCTCGTTGGATACCAGTGCTCCAGTGCAGTGTGTTATGTGAATAGTGGTGTTGTGTGTGGTGCAGGAGGGCGCAGCAGCAGCGGGGCCAGCAACGGGACCAAGCTGGTGCTCGCCAACGGAGGCGGTGCCCAGGACCACCAGGACCACCCTGGCGACGTGGTGGACGTGATCAAGGACGAGTATAAGACGATGGCGTACTCGACGCAGATGTTTGGCGGGCAGCCCACGCCGCAGGGCCACCACGGCAGTGGCACTCCCTCCCCCGGGCCGTACAACGACCTGGCGTACGGCGCGCCCCCCGCGCCCGGCGCCCCCCAGCAGCCCGTCTACATGCCCAACCTGCGGACGGCCGCGCCGCCGCCGCCCACCTCCACGGGCTTCACCACCGTCTCGGAGCGCTACTACTCGGACTACTTCCCGCCAGTACCTGACCAGGGCTACGCGCCCCTGCGGCAGCAAATACCCACCTACATGGACGGCGCCGAGGCGGCGGGCGGCCCCGCCTCCGTGTCCACCGCCGACCTGGTGCAGCGGTACGTGCGCCAGACCAACGCCTACCACACCACCAACAAGGGCGTCATCGCGGCCGCCACCGCCGCGGGGCTCACAGTGGACCTGCCCTCGCCGGACAGCGGCATCGGCGCGGAGGCCATCACCCCCCGGGACCAGACCGCCATCCAGCAGGTGCGTACGCCACACTGTAGGGCCGGAGACTTGAACGCTGGTGTGGGCCTGGCTGCCCTTGGCGGTGGAGGGTTTCCATGGCGACCGCGGCGCTCCCCGACGCCGCGGTTCGCCGGTTTTCCAGTGCCCCAGTCTCGGCCGAGCTCGCCGCTTCCGAATGCCTACACTGTACGTTGCGCCGTCAGACCATTTTTCTTCTTCCCTTCCTGCGGCGTGTTTGTCTCATCCTCCAACCCCTGCCCTTCTCTTCCCGTCTCTCTCTTTTTATTTCTTTCAAATCCCGTCGCGCGCGTCTTCCCTTCTCTCCGTCTCTCTCTGCCTCTCTGTAATGGCAGCCTCGTATCGCGTTTCTCTTACAACGGAAGACGCCATGCCCTGCCTCGCATTTCCCTACCACACACACACACACACACACACGCACACACACACACAACACATCAATAACGCTGTGAATACTCGGGGAGACCCCCTGCAGCGCGCGAGGATGAGTCGAAGGCCTTTGGTGGTTTGGATGAGGTTAGGTCGGCCGGGCGCGATGGGGTTGTATGGCCAAGCCTCGCCCGGACGGCACCCATACCGACCCATACCCAGCCAGGGCCCATTGACATTTCGCTGGACGTGTGTGTCCGTGTGTGTGTGTGGGTACCTCCGTTTGTGTCTGTGTGTGTGTGTGTTTGAGCGCGCGCGGGCGGCAGGACAGGACGGCGACAATGTTGCGTGAGTTGGCGTGGGGGTCGGGCCCTGCCCAGCCCTGCCCTGCCCTGCCCTGCCCCGCCCCGGTCCCCAAGGCTCCTCACAGTGTCCCGTCGGGGCCTTCACGTCGTTTTCTTCTCTTTGCGACTCTGTGTGTGAGTGTGCGTGTAGTTTAGTGGGTATTTGCAGGACCTGGTTTGCTATTCTCTCTGCATGTGTGTGCGTGAGTGTCTGTGTGTGTGTGTGTGTGGCGTCCAGGGCAATCAAGCCTTTAGGGTCCATCAAGTGCAACAAGTTTAAATGCTCTGCTTTACGCACGCCGTCCGTCGCGTCAAGACGACAATCAGTCCCGCCGAGGGAAGGGGCCGACCGTGTGTGTGTGTGTGTCTGTGTGTGCGTGTGATGCTTCACTCGATTCCATTTGCACTCGCGAGCCATTAGAACCGTGCAGGGCAGTGAGTGTCAGTGTGTGTGTGTGTTGAATCGGCGGTGGCGGCGGACGGGTGTGAAACGGATAGCAAAGAATAAAATGACAACGAGCAAATAAAAAGGATGAGAGGTAAAGGGAGACAGGGGGTGCAAATAATGATGAACGAAAAAAAAAAAGAGACAAGCCGCACGGTGAAGCGCGCCGCGCGGCCCGAGGTTTCATTAGTCTGCCGAGCGGGGGAAATAACGATTAATTTCTGTGACGGGGGACGGGACACTACACTGGGACAGTTCCGGGGCGTTCGCTCTGCGCGGTACGTATGCACACATGGCCTCACCTGTAATCTGGGTCCGGAGCCGCGCGCACACACACACACACACACACACACACACAGACTTTCGTAACCCATTGAGAAGTGCGAGCGCGCCTGCCGCTCCGCCGATTTTATTTATTTATTTATTATTTTTTTTCGCGTTCTTTTCTCCTTTTTGGCCCCTCGCTGCTTTATAGTCCGCGTGTCCTTGGGCCGTGCATGTCACGCGCGTGAATGGGGCACCACGCCCGGGGGGCTGCGCGTCGCGAGGCTGTCTCTCTCGCACCCCTGCGGAATACCCTGCGGGTGCGAGGGAGACAGAACGGCGAAATCGCTGAATCAGCCGTGTGTTTGTATGGAAGGGGAGGGGATCCCGATTGCGCCACCGCCCCACCCCCACCCTCCGGGCAGCCAGCTGGCCCGTGTGGGGTGTAGGGTCGCCCCGCCTAGTAATTGGTCTGCTTCCGTGTCGCTCGCGAGCCGGGCCGGGCAGAGGTTTCTGGCGGAGTCGCGGGTTCAAAGACCCGCAGAGCGCAGCAGCCGTGTCGGACTCTTCCCCGAATGTATAGGTCCCGATGGCGGGGCCGGGCCGGCTCGCCCAGGGCACAGGTGCCGGCGTGTCGGCCATCAAACTGTCGCTCCTGGTGGCTTTTCCGTGTCGTCTCTTTAATAGTGGCCCCGGGTAATTTATTCCCGCTACACACAAAAGGTTTACACTCCGCTAGGACCCCGTCGCCCATTTTCTTCTTCTTTTCCGTTTTTATTGCGATGCCGCGATGCCCCGCGGCTCTCCGGTCGGCCTTAGGGTGCCCCGCTTCCGGTGTGGTGGATCACGCTGACCTCAGCCACCGACCGCAAAGGTAACATTTTCAGCTTTACGACCTCGTTTCGGACCAGATTTACACTCATTCGGTGTGCAGTGCCCAATTAGCTCGTAAGGGGTCCCTTTCATGCGTGCGCGTTTTCGTGCGGCGACGGCCGAGCGCCCCGCCGGCCAACGGGCACACACACACACACACACAGCCTGGGTCTTAAATCATTTTCATCTCGACAGCCCACGTCGGCCACCGGGCTTTCTCTCAGAGCCCCGCTCGCGCGCGCGAAAAAAAGGGGACGAGTGCCAAAAAGGAAAGAAAAAAAGACAAGAAAGAAAAAGGGGGGCGAGGTGTGTTAAACGTCGTTACTTGGCCCTTTCATCGTCGCGTTTAACGAAAACGAATTGCCCTCGCAAATCCGCGGCTCTGCTTCGCTTCCGCGGGCCTTTCCAGGTTCCAGGCGTCGCGGGCGTCCCGGGCGGGGTGCTGCCCCTGGTGCTGCCGGCCGGCCGCCGGGCGACAGTCTTCAAATTTATAGCCCAAGAAAGCTGCGTCCCACACTGTAGGCTGCTGCCTGTCGCTGCCGACGCTCAACGTGGCGAATTTCAGAGCAACTGGCCGACCGGGTTTTTAGCGAAACAGACACGCTGTCGGACGCGGACCGCCGTCGCCGCGCGTCGCCCACAGCGGTTCGAATCTCACCTCGTAAAATTAACAAATTCCAGCGCAGTCCGCCTGGCCTGCCGTCCGCGCGCGCTGCGGGTGGCGGCGCGGGCGACACTTTTCTTCTTTCGCGTTGCTTTTATTTTCGGTTATCTCCGCGCGTTTCGATTTGTTGCCCCGCCGAAGGGTCGGAAGGGGGCACCGTTACGCAAATGAAGAGTTTGCGCGCGATTCCGAGTGACCAGTGGCCGTCAGTGGCGCGGCTGCCAGTGGCCCAGCGGCTGCGGGGTCATTACAGTGCAGCGCCGCTTCGTACTTCGTACTCTCGTATGCAGCCTGTAACAAGCCGACCGGCACGCCAGGGCAGGCGGCGTGTTGCTTTCCATGTCGTCCCCACACATGCCGGCCGCATCTCGCACTGCACTGCTGGGCTGGTGCACTGCGAGCCACCACTCACCTCCTGGAATACCTCCTCTCACTGCGCCGCTCTGCGCAGCGCGAAGGTTCAGAGCGCGCCGCGCCGCCTCGGCCGCCTCGCGCGTGTAAGCATTCGCCGCCATCAGAACCCCTCTGCGTGTGTGTGTGTGTGTGTGTGTGTGTTGTTGTAGTTTTTTTCGCCCCGTTTTTAATGGCCGTGCTGTCCCTCCCACTCCCTCGTCGATGTCGCAATCGGACTGCACGGCGCGGGTACGTGCGCCGCGTCCAGTCTGATTAGACAGAGAGAGAGAGAGAAAGAGAGAAAAAATATAAACGGGGAGAAACGCGCGCATGCCGCGCGCGGGAGTTGAACCCACGACGGATGACGGCGACACGCGTGCCGACACGCCAAGAAGGGTTCGCGACGCCGCGACGCATTCCCCCGCCGTGTCGCTCCGTGTCACTTCGTGTCCGTCACTCCGGCTCTGGAAAAATGACGTCGGACGCGTCGGGCCGCTCCAGCGGGGCGTGGCGGGGCGGGGCGGGGCGGGGCGTGGCGAGCATCCCAGGCGTCGGTCGGACATGGCCGCGCACACCTGTGAGGCCCCCTGAGCCCCGTGAGGCGAGGCGAGGGTGTTGCCGAAGCCAACGGTGTCAGGAGAGAGGAGTCCTCCCCCCCCCCTTCCCCCGCAGCCACCGGATTATTAATTAAGATTCCGAAATCCTTGTTTATTGGACGCCCCGCTCCTGATTGCCTTCGTGGCGAGAGGGGCGGGGTGGGGGGAAGGGGGATTGAAAGTCGCTGGACCTGTGAAAAGGTCCAAAACGCTTAGTTTGGGGAGAAGCTCTGGCGTCGTAGTTCCCGGACGAAGAGACGTGGGGGTGGGGAGCGAGCAGCCCTGCCGCAAAGTCCACAAAGTCCCGCGCCAAGTCGCGCCAAATGTATTCCGCGCCGTCATGCCTGCGTTTCGCCGCTTGTCAACATTGCTGGAGCGCGGCAGAGCCTCGCCTGCAGACTCATTCCAAAGATTCGCTCTGTCTCTCTCGCACCTCGACGGGACGCCCCGTGAGTGCGAGAGAGACAGAGCGACAGAAACGGAGTCAGTCTGCTGGAGCCGCGACATGTCCGCGGCAGCAACATCTCTAGCGAGCCGACGCGGTGAGGCGCGTGAGTGAGTGCTGCCCTCTGTCGGGAGCACCGCACACCTCAAGCAGCGGAGCGGCGCGGCGTCGCGACGGTGGCCTGGGGAGGGGAGAGGGGGGGGGCGAGGAATTAAAAGCAGTTAGCGTCTTCCCCATTTGCTAATTAGTGCCCTCCGAGGCTGGCCGTTGTCCACCGCGACGCCCGCGGCCTTTCACGAAGTCTCCGGAGTGGACACGAGTCGTTGTAGCGGGGCGGCGCTCGCACGCACACTCACGCACACGCACGCACACGCACGTGCGCACGCCACGGCGCCAGGGACACGCGACACACTACTACACTACAAGGCCTCTCCTTTTCGCTATCCGCCTGGAGGATAAAAGGACACGATCGGGTGGGGAAAAGAAGGATGATATTGCGATGATATGTTTATTTGGACGCGGCGTTGGTTTGTGCATGTAGTTGGCATTTCCTGCCGCCGTCCGTGTGTTCGTTGTGTGTGTGTGTGTGTGTGTGTGTGTGTGAGCGTCCCTGGCGTCGAGCCAAAGTACGTCATCGCCTGTGTCGGTTCCTTCTCGAAATTCGCACTGACTCAGCGTCCGCGAGAGGCGAGAGTTCGCAGCAGCCTCGCCTCCGGAGCCGAGATCGAACGGCGGAGAGTCTGCCGCGCCGCCTCACCGCCTCGCCACTGCAATGCTAAATGCTAAATGGGGTTGTCACGACGACGGCAGTCCCGCCGCAGAAACCCTACACCGCCGGTCTGTCTCTCTCGCACTCATGGGGCGTTCCCTTGGAGTGCGAGAGAGACAGAACGACGAATAAACGACTCTTGGAATCGAGTCTGTGGGTGGAAATTTGGCGCGCCGAGCCAAAGGTGCTCGCGGCGTTGCGTTCGGGTGGTCAAACTTAACGAGGTGCGCGATGTGCGGCGATGCAGGCTGCTCCTGCTCCGCCGGTCGGATTTGCAGTGGGATTCGCACGCTCCAAATCCGAATCCGTCTTAGAGGCCGGGCCGCCTGAGGCCAGCTCGCCGTCGGGGAGGTCGCCCGTCTGCGGGCCGACCGCGCCCCCGCCGCGCTCCGGCCCAGCCACCGCGGACTCGCTCAGCGCTTCGCGGCTTCGCGTTTCCTTCCCTTATTCCGCCTCAGTTGGCAGCCGTGACTGACACGACAGCAGTCGGCCGCGCAGCCGCGCACGACTGGCCCTAACAGTGCTGCCAACCGGAGTCGGGCAAAAATCTGAAATCCCATTTGCTGGTCTGTCAGTCGGGCGCGCAGTGCTGCGAGTGGCAGGCCTGAGTCGCTAGGTTGGGTTTCGAGGTTAGGAAGACAAAAAGGCGGGATTACAGTGTGGGGCCATAAGGAACGCGAGGCGGGGCGCGGGGCTGCCGTGAGCGGTCAGGCCCTCACGTCACCTGCAGACGCCGCGCCCCGCCCGCCACCGGCCAGTACACGCCTTTCCCAAAAAGAGGATAGTGTAATAAAATGCAGGCAGGCCGTTGCGTGTTTAGAGGGGGATGGAGGGAAACGGATAGAGGAATACATTACAAAATTAATCGACCTGGACCATCATTGAAAGGCCCCTCCCGCTGTACGGGGTTAATCTTCCTCATTTACAACCGGTGCTTAGTGCTGAGGTAGCGGTAGCATCTCCTATCCATTCAAAAACAATCGCCGCTTTCCTTCGTTTCCTTGTCTCTCTTCTTTCGGCTTTGCCCTTCGTCTTTCCTCCTCCACTCCGTCCTCCCCCGTGTCCGTCGTGTCCGTCCTTCCCCTCTGTCCTTCCGGGTCCTGGGCGAACGGACGGGTTGGGAAAAGATACGGTGGAGATAAAAGGTAAGGTTGCTGTTCGGAGAGATCTTATCGATACGGTGGCCACTCAAAGTTCCACTCATATCCTTTTCTTCCCCGTCCTTGTGTTCCTCCTCCTTTTTATATTCCGAACATACTGCTAATTATCGTACACTGCCTCGCCGTATTTATTATGTTATTCCCGTCCTAATCAAATGCGTTTGAGGCCCGGGCGGCGCCGCGCCGCGGAGGAGGAGGACGCGGAGGAGGAGGAGAGGAGGAGGAGGAGGAGGAGGAGAAGAATCCACGCCAGCCCTGGACGTAGGCAACCAGTGCCACTCGGCTGTCTGGCTTGCTGGGCCGCGGAAGTGAGGCTGCTGCCACTAATTAGTTGGAGATAGGGGAGAAAATAACTACCCTGATTTATTGGGCTTCAGCCTCCTCCGTAATCGCTTCGTTATGTCTGATTTCCTCCCGGCCGGCGGAAAATAATACCAATAAAAAGTCTCGGTTTATTTGTCGGGGCGTTCTGAAATCCGCCGTGATTTAACCCCAAAATGTGTGGCGTCCGAGAAGTCCGAGGCGGGCCGGCTGGCGGGCTGGCGCCGACTTACTGTATTGTGGCTTAATCTTAATGAATATCGCGGGGCGGCCGAAGGGGCGGCCGAACGAGCCCGATTTGCGCGATAATTAGGGCTGCATCGCTCAGCCTCGCCACCGCCACGCCGGCCGGCCCACGGGGAAGCACGGGGGAAAAGCAGCGCCATTTATACACGGCATTTTGTGACGTTGTTTGTTTTTGTGTGTTTTTGCAGTCGTTCGACTACACGGACCTGTGCGGCGGCCAGGCGGTGCTGGACCCCCTGGTGCGGGCCCCGCAGGGGCAGAGCCCCGGGCCCCAGTCCGCGCCGGGGCAGCCGGGACAGCCGCAGCCCGCGAGAAGCCGGCCGTGGCACGACTTCGGCAGGCAGAACGACGCGGACAAGATCCAAGTACCTAAAGTGTAAGTGCAGCAGGTGTAACACTAGCGTACTTCCATTGTGCTTCCCATTGCTCGGGGGCGTGGCCCGCGAGGCCTGCAAGCGATCATTCCGAGCAAGTGCTTCTCTGTCTCTCTCGCGCCGCTGCGGGGCGCCCCGTGAGTGCGAGCGGGACGCAGCGACCAAAGCACTGCCGGCCAGGAGAGGGGCGTCCTCCAATTATCCGGTGGGACTAGCGTTGCTGGAGTCCGTCAGGCGGTCCGGACAAGTCAGGCCGTGGCAGCGGGCCAGGCTTGAGACGCCAGGCTTGAGACGCCAGGCTCCACCGCGCCGCCGCCGCCGCGGTTCGGTTCGGTTTCGGGGGAACAGCCGTGGAACCGCGTCGAGAAAATGGCGGCGTTTGAAAAGCAAATGCGGCGCTAATCGGTGCCCCGCGGCGCTAGGCGGCGCCAGGCGGCGCGGCGGTCGACGGGGGCCTCGGGGCGCCCTTGGCACCGTCACCCGGCGTGACGACGCGGCCACGCCGCCACGCGCCCGTTCTCTTCCGCCCGGAACATCCTCGCGGTGCCTCGGCGGTGCCTCGGCGGTGCCTCGGCGGCGGGGAGGTGTCCGCCATCGCCGCGGTGGCCGACGCCAGCCTCCTCGGTTTTAATTTCCTCCTCGTTTTGATCATGAGGGCGATCACGGCGCACGACGGGAGTGGCCGAGCCGCTGAAGCAATTTGCTGCGGGCAAATAACTTACTTTACTCGTGTTTAATGCATGGCTATTGGGCCGACCGGCCGGGAGGCTGCGCCCCTCCCCCCCCCCCCTCGTATAGATGTCACACCGGCCGGCAACACGCCGCCCCTAATTGCACCATTTCCGCGCAATCTCGCCGTGCTCGCCGTCAAGCGCGCTGTTTAGAGGCCAATTTTTCATAGTGCGTTGCGCGCATGCGCAGCGCGCAGCAGCAGGGCGACTCCGAAGAGCCGCTTCGACCGTTGCGTCGCTCCGTCTCCCTCCCTCTCGCGTCCCCCAAGGGGCGCCTCGCGCGAGTGCGACAGAGACAGCGTCGTGCACAGCGCTAATCCCACCGCGATTGTATTGAAAGGCGATAAGTCGCATCATCATTTTCTGCCGAGACCGGCGCGCCGTGCATGTGCACGTGAGCACGGCTGGCTGGCTGGCTGCCTGGCTGGCTGCCTGCCTGGCTGAGCACGTGCAAGGATGCGGCCCGCCCCGCCAGGCAGCCAGGCAGGCAGCCAGCCAGCCGCGCTCACGTGCTGCTTGATGTACTGCGGGGCCACGCGGGGTTAAAGGGAGCCTGGCTTAACGCACAACGCGCAGTGGCGTGCGGCACTTACAGTGTGTTTCCCTTCGCAGATACTCCAACTACGGCTTCAAGTACACGCTGGAGACCCCCATCTCGACGTCGCAGAGAAGAGAGGACGACCGCGTGACGTACATCAACAAGGGCCAGTTCTACGGCATCACCATGGAGTACATCCCGGACCCCGACGCGCCCATGCTCAAGAACCACACGGTCAAGGTAAGCGGCGAATGCGCGGGGCGGTGATGACGACGGACATGATGAGGAATCTTTGTTTGTCTGATGGGACGGCCCGTCACTGCCAGGACGGCCAGGACGGCCAGGGGGAGGTACGGGTCGTCAGGCGGGACGGCCGCGACAGGCGCGCGCTCGGGTCAGGGAGGGAGGCCCTGCTTTTGATTGAGCGACTCAGCACACCCCCTTGCAGGTGGATCGCGTACTGCCTGTCCGTCTGTCCGTCTGTCCGCGGTGGCTTTCCCAATGGACGGGCGGGTCCTCGCGGACCTTAATAAAAGAGGTCAAAGGCAAATGACCAGCGGGACCAGCGCGTACATTGGCGGCGACCCCCCGCGGTGTCCCTGGGTATGGGGGGCAGCGCCAAGGCAGCGCGCGGCGCGCAGCCGGACAGGTGGCGCTGCTTTCACCTCACCCCGGCACCGCGCGGCCGGACCGAGTGGACCGAGAGGACCGGCCATGGGAACGGACCGCGGGACTCTCAAAATAAAGTGTGTGTGCCGTGAGGTGTGAGCTAATTCACTGCGACAAGACGCCGGTGCCGGCGGTCCGGCAGGCTGCGCTGTCTCTCTCTCTTCCTCTCGCACTCTTCGGAGTCCAGGGCCCCGTCCAGGACGACGGCGTCCAGGACCTCGCCGCGCTAAGCCCTCTATCGACGACGTGCGTGATTCTGACGGCTGCCTAATCCTCGCGAGGCCCCTCGGGGGGGGGGGGGGGGGGAGGATTGGGGTCGAGGGGGCCTACTCGCGCTAGCTCGCGCCACCTCGCGCGGGCCTAGCCGACTGTCACCAGATACCCTCCACTCTGTGGGCCGCTTAATCCGCACCGCCTGCGTTTTCCCCGTGGAAAAGGAAACATGAGAATATGAATGGTCCGGCTGAAGGAATCGGGACAGGTGACCCGCGGGGCCGGGACCACCGGGGACCACCCTTTCGGCACCTTCGGCCCACGGCGCCTTCGGAGTGGGTTTCGTCGTCGATCTTTCCGTCGGTCCGACGTCCTAGACGACGTCCTAGACCACGTCGCCGCGAGGACTCATTGGCCGATCGATCCGAGAATGCGTCTGCCAATTATTGACGTGGCCAGCCAGGCCTGTAATGAGGAAGCGGCTCGGCTCGGCACGGCGCGGCCGGTCCATGTCGACTCGGCACGGCCAGGGCACGGCTCGGACTCATTGTTGCTAACAGGCGCGTAATTGACGGCGGTGGACGCTATCACGTGCTGGCGCCCCGCCCCGCCACGCCCCGCCCCGCCACGCCACGCCACGCCCCGCTGCCAATGGCGTCCAATCAATAACACGCGGCCGTTACCGTTAAGGGCGTGGCGCGGCGTCGTCGTCGTCCTGGAGATGGAGACGCCAGGCGACACGCTGGAGACGTGCCCGCCGTCCCGGAGAAAGCCAACGGAGGCAAACAGAAGAATGCAGCCTCGGGGATTTTTTTTCTCTCCTTTTTTTCGAACGGGGGAAAAAATATGGCGCGCGGGGTTGTGCTGGAAAGGAGAAACCGATGATAAAAATGGTTCTGGTGCGCGGTGTTCGAACCTTGGAAGCCGGGGGCGGACGACGGACGCGTGTTACCCGCGGCGTCATAACACTGTTATGATAACGCTCCTAAAGGAGAAAACGACGCACTGCCGCACTCCACTGGCTACACTCGCCGGCCCGGGGTGGCCCGGAGATTAATTTTACTTGTCAACGCGGGGCGGTCGGTCTTGTTATCTTGCCTCTCTCTCTTTCTGCCGCTCGGCGGTGCACCTTGTTACTGCCTTCCCTCTCACTCTCTCTCTCTCCGTCGGCTCTCCCCGGCAGCCGCGTCTATTCATCTGTCAAGCGGTCATACCCGAATCAATCGTCCCGCCGGGGCGCCGCGGCTGCACCTGTGCGCGCGCCTCCCCCCTCCCCCTCCCCCCGCGCCGCCCCGCGCTGACCGGTCCTGAGGACCAGCTGAGTGGCCGGGCGAGCAGGGCAAGCAGCGGCCGGGTCGTCCGGCACAGGTCCGGCACAGGTTCACCTCCAGCTGACTGCCTGCCTCCCCCGCCCCCGCCGCCCCTGCCGCTACCGCCCGTCGCATTGTTTCCCGATCGTGGTTCGGCGGGCCGCCGCCGTGTCGCGCTGCGGGCGCGCTTCCTCGTCGCCGCCTCGCGCGGTCGGCCACACGGGGCCAAGCCACAAGGCACGGGACCACGTAGCGTGGGAACATGGTGAGGAATAGTCGGGAAAGGTGGAAAATCTCATCGTCTCCTTTCTGCCTGTGCGCGTGGCGGCGCGTGGCCTTGACCAAGGTTCGCCGGCGGTGTCTAGCTGTTTCCGGGCGAGGGTACACAGCGCCGTCAAATTGCGCTCACATCGAATTCGGGTGGCGCGTTCGGATCGACGTCGTCGATAATTGCCGCTGCTGGCACACGCCTGCGTTCGGCAACTTGCGCGGAACTTGTTCATGTTTCAAGTTTTTTCACCGCGGCACATTGCTCTTTTGTGTCCGACAGGGTAACACACGCGCCTTGTGTTTCGTTTCCCCGGCAACGTGTTCGCAGCGCGCCAGCGCGACGCTACGCGTGTATTAGACGTAATGCGCGATGCCGGGCCGTGGCGAGCAGCGCGAGCAACGCCGCGAGATTTGAATCAAACTTTAATACGTGATCCCAGAGCGACGAGTCTCTTCTCCTAGTATTTCCCTCTCTCGTTTCCTTTCTCCTAATCCTCGCCCCTCTTTTCCTCCTCCTCCTCCCGCGCTCAACTTTTCTGACAGAATAAACGATTAAAAAAAACCACGCCCGTGCGGTGATGCCAATCTAGATAAACTTGGCATCCTTGATGATGAAGGATTAATCGACGTGTTTTTTTCCTCTTTCATTTTTCTCTGCGACAAAAATTTAAATTTTTGCGCTGCTTGCCTCTTCTTTCTCTTCCCGCCGTTTCGAAATTGATGACGCCATTAAATTGGCGCGCTTTTTGCGCGCGTGCGACAAGGAAGGATGCCTGAGCGGAATGAAAATGACCTCATTGCCTCGTCGACCGTGTTTGTTCAATCTCCAATCGATACCCATCCCGAGGGGGTTTTCATGAAAATATAATGAATCTCGTCATTGTTCGTGTTTGTTGTTGTTTTTTTTTTATTTATTAAATCTGAAGCTGTGGATCTCTGGTGCAGGTGCACGCACGGTGATCCGTAAACGCAGCTACAACAACAACAACAAAACAGCATCGAGTGGAGAGCGCTGCGCGGGCTTTTTAAAAATTTCACTTGTCTTGTCGACTCGTGATTAATCAGGACTCGCGCCGTGGCGTTTATCTTCCTGTCAGCGGGAGTACGGAGTACGGCACTGTTGGATGGAACTCAAATTTTTTAATTTCTCCTCTCCGCGTCCTCGTCTCTCTCCTGGCAGTATAGTCTGTGTGTGTGCGTGTGTGTGTGTGTATCTCTGACCCTATCCTCGGACGGACAGACGGACCTAGCGTGCGTGTAAGATTATCTCTAGAAAACGAAAAACAAACTATAACGCCACAAAGAAAGCAACTTGTTGTGGCCGCAGGGAAGGAGGGGGAGTGGGGGTAAGGCCTTCCCGATCGGGCCGGCGCTGCTGCTAGAGGGGCATCATTTGACACCGCCCTCCCCCCCCCCTTTTCCCCGGTCTAAATCCCCTTCGAGGTCCTCTAAGGTGCGGTCGCCCACCCCGCTGCTCTGCTTGACACGTCAACCTTGCGGGAGTACGAGGCGCCGAGTCTCACTCTTGCTGACAGTCTCCCCTCTCTCTCTCTCTCTCTCTCTCTCTCTCTCTCTCTCTCTCTCTCTCTCTCTCTCTCTCTCTCTCTCTCTCTCGTGTGCTAGGGTGTTTGCTTGGCGAGCTTGTTGCTGCGCATCCACACGTAGTGATAAGACCGCCTCTTTTTTGCGCTGCTTGCCTTGTGTGTCTCTGCGTGTGTGTGCGTGAAGGCATATTCACAACAGGCAGGCAGCCATCCATCTTGCTTCTCGGCTTCAATTAAATGTTTCCGATCTTCCATGCTCGCCGCATATATGTATTCCCCCCGCGCGCGCGCGTGTGTGTATGTTAGGAGAAAAATGCATTTCCGCCTCCCTCGTTCGTCCGTGGGGTTTATTAAGATTTCTTTATCTTCTTCTCCCTCGCCCCCACCTGCCTTACATATTTCTGTGTGAGAAGTAGCAAAGTTTCCTCGCCGCATTAAAATTCATCGCTACCTTATCTTGAATAATAACCGCGGCGAAGCAGCGATAATGGCAATAATTGTTATATTCTAATGAGATAATTAATTTCCGTGCATGCGCGCCCCGCGATGCCTCGCGATGCCTCGCGATGCGCCCTGTGGAAATAATAGCGACACGCGCGTGACGTGGGCAGCGCAGGCAGCATGAGCTTCGCGGAGCTTCGCAGAGCTTCGCGCCGCCGCCGTGGTGGCGCTGGGTGCGCGTCGATCGCGGCGCGAATTTGACGCGGCCGTCGTTAACGCCCCATAATCCGCGCAGAAATTAGCATTTCGCGGCCCGAAGGGTAAAAAGACAACAACAACAACATGCTCGTGGCTCTAGCTTGCCAGCTTGGCTGTTGTATGATGCGTGGTGCGTAGTAATCTATTGCAGATAAGCACGCAGGTGCCTTTATTTAAAAGGGATTGAAATTAGTGCATGTTTAGGTAAGATGAGAACACATTAAGGCAGTTCGTGAATGGGGCTGGCTGCTGATACACAAGTGCTCAAAGTTAATGTCCTGGAATGTGTTTTTTTGTTTTTGTTTTTCTATTGGCTTCTCATTCAGTGTCAGCCCTTTGGACTTTTCTAGTTGGTTGTTGACTTTTCTTGGTCGTTTTGGCTCCGTCCTGAGACTCCCACTCTCAAGGAGCGTGTCGATCTAATGAGGGTGCTTCGACAATCGCTGGCTGATTTATATCATAATCTGCATGGCCTGCACGGGCGTGGGCATGATGGGTGCATATAACTGCCATGCAAATATCTGGGAACAGCAGCAAGGGTGGACGGACGGAACACTTATACCCCCCCCCTCTTTTTCCACATCCGTAACTACGCCCTGCGCACCTCTCCCAAACGACGTGAACGCCTCCGCCATTGAAAATTATGTTATTCCTTTAAATTTTCATGAAACACTGTTGTTTTAAACCCCGTCGGCTGCACTCCGAAAAAAGAGTTTCATTTATTCAAAGAAAATTTATTTGAATAAGTGACCAAACATTTTACTTAGACTTGAAAAAAAGAACTGTAAGGTTCGTTCGCTTCAATTCAAAGGATATTCACCATTGACAAAAAATCTTTGAATGCAAATTTTGTTCAATCAGGGAAACGTTTCTCTGGGTGCGCTGGTACTCGAACCCTGGACCTTTGCCTCTCGTTTCTAACTCGTTTGTTGTTTTTGCAGAGCGTGGTGATGCTGATGTTCCGCGAGGAGAAGAGCCCCGAGGACGAGATCAAGGCGTGGCAGTTCTGGCACGGCAGGCAGCACAGCGTCAAGCAGCGGATACTGGACGCCGGTGAGGAAAATGAAATCATTAGCTCCGCGCGCTCCGCCACTGGACGCTAATAGGGCACCCAAACGGCAACGGCCGTGGCGGCCGCGCCCGGGAAAATATGTGTTTCGGTCCGTCCTTTTAATAGCAATTAGTGAACGGAAATCGTAAATAAAGCTTGGAAGGAGGGGGGAGCACGCAAGGTGGCCGCGCAGGGGACCGCAGGGAGGCCGATATGGCGTGAGTCCGTGAGGAGGGCGCCCGGTCCAGCAGAGCCACCCCAGGGAGGAGGCCCAGGGTGGTGCCTGGCCGTGACGGCGGCGTCCAGGGCGCCGGCCCTCCTCCTGACGGCCGCTTAGGCCCTGTGATTGATGGGGCCAACACTTCTCGTCTCAATGGCCCGTATACGCCAGAGTGGTTTTCGTCGCTCCTGCTCTCTCGCGCTCGCCCGAGACGCCCCACGAGTGCGAGAGAGTCAAACGCTCATAATCAGTCTGCGGGCTTCACAAACCGGCCGGCTGAGGGTTGAGGGTACACTGGTGTACGCAGGTGGGCCGGCCAGTGCGACTGTTTACTCTTTTCCCCGCACGCAGTGGTTTCGGGAGGGGGGGGGGGTCAGTGGGTCAGTTCCGTGATGATGTTCCGCGAAGGGGCGGGGCGGGCCGGGAATGAATGACTGATGGAGTGCATGCCTCGAGTGGTTATTGATGCATTTGTTCGAGGGCACCGTATGCCTGTGCGTCTGTGTGTGTGTCTGGACCTCCTCTCTCGGTCCGGCCGGGCCAAATTAAAACCTCATCTCCGCCATCGCACGGACAGACAGACGGACGGACAGACAGAGGGACAGACGGCCGGGCGTAAGTGCGTGCATGTACGCCGTACGTGTGTGTACCTACACGCGCATGGAGGGCCGAGGAGGGCCCGCACGCCGAGGCGCCGCGCACGGAGCGAACAGGGCATTAATTTTGAGGCATCGCCTCCACGGCATCGCTGGCACGCCAAAGCACAAAAAATAACGAAAAAATAATAATCATAATAATCATGTAAGAGCTGATCAGTTCCTGCGCGTCGTGAAATTTTAAGGGGCCTAAAAAAACAAAATGGGCGACACATTTAACGTCGCCAGTGCTGCGACTGCTATCGGGGAGTGAACGGGAGGAGAGGACAACGGAACGGAACTTTAACGCGCAGGACGTAACGGGGAAGGAAGAGACGGACACACACACACACACACACAGTGTACAGCCAATTAACATGGCGGGGTCCGAACGACACGTCGGGCCGAAATGGGGGTAGACACATAATGATCCCAAATTGGACTTCTGTGTAAACCCGGAGTCCCACCGGTGTTATTAGGGTCCCGGAGGACGAGGAGGACGGGGAGGACGGCGCAGTGTGGGCGACGGAGAGGTCCTGCAGGAAGCGGGAGAGAGGCGAGCGCGCGAAATCGGCCGGAGGAAGGAGCGGCCGCGCGCGTCTGTGTGTGAGTGTGTGTGTGTGTGTGTGTGTACGTGTCAGGTATAAACACTGTTTTCACTCGTTTTAACTCCCCCATTAATATTTATCGGAAACTAATGAAATGGAAACGCGGTGGCGGCTCGCTGCCCGGCGTTTGGCGGGTCGGCCCGGGTCCTCGCGCGGGGCGGGGCGGGGCGGGGCGGGGCGGGCCGAGTCGGACAGGACGTGGCGGCAGTGGACGCGCTACTCGCGTAATAAAATTATGCATTCAGGTTAACATGCGATCAGAGCACCGCGGAACGCGTAGCGGTGGCGGCGTTTGCTGCCTAGTTTTCCATACAACCTCTCTCTCTCTCTCTTCCCTCCCCCTGGCTGGAGTAAGTCGGCGTGCGAGCAGAGCACTTGTCGGAGGAGTGGCCGAGCGGGCCGAACGACGGCAGGAGGAGCCGAAGGGGCGGGGAGGTCATTGTCAGGCCGTGTTTGATTTGCTGGACGTCGCCGTCGACGCCGGCCTGGACGCGTCATCCGCCCCGCCCCGCCACGACGCGCTGTCCACCGCTGAGCTGACAGGCGGCACACAGCATTATCATGCTGTGCGAAGCAACACACACACACACACACACACCTCCGGAGAGATGTTGCTCGGAGGCGTTAAATAGGCAAGCAGACTTGTCGGTCGGAGCGGGCTGGAGCGGGCTGGGGCGGGCCTCGGGGAGATCGGACAAGCACAGCGTGATACATCAAGCCCTCGTCGCGGGCGGAGCAGGGATCGGGGATTTGGCGGGGAATGGCCATGTGGTGTGGCGCCGCTCTGCGTGATACAAATTCGCAGCCCAAGCTCTCGTGAATGGACGCCTCTTTGTTTTCCCCTCCTCTGTGGATGCCGCCATCGCTCGGTGTCGAAACCGAGACGGACAAGCGTTCGTGTGAGTGTGAGTGCGTGTGTGTGTGTCTCGTATATTCGAAAATGTTGACTGACCACTTAGCGGGATTTGGTGCACTCACGTCTCACAGTTGGCAGGACTGATAGACGTGCGCGGGATTCAAACGTCGCGGTTGGTCACACTCTCTCACACACGACGCTCACACATGCCGACACTCGCACTCACGCACACACGCTCGCCGGGCGTCGGGCCCGGAAACGTCGTGTAGTGTGTCCGTCCTGGATCCGCAGACAGTGGCGTGGCTGCAGCAGTCACGTGACGCGACGCCAATCCCCTTCAATAAGTCCCCCATCGCCGAGGCGGCGTGGCCCCATGCTGCGACTTTCCACTCTTTCTGGGAAGAACGAGACGAAACTCCGCTTTTACGCGGCCACGCCACTGCGCCACGCCCCGCAGTGGTGACGGATCGGCCCGGTGTCGAAACGCTGCCGCCTCGCCCGTCGCGGCGCTATAGGGTGTCCACCCGTCCGTTTGTCGCCGGCGGTGCATAGGGTGCCCCCTGGGCCCGTTTGATGCGACCAGCGAGAGGCCCGGCCCGGCCGTGTCACATATCAGGGGAACCCTATCCGGCGGCCTGTATCAGGTGAGCGCCGCGCCAGAGAGAGAGAGAGAGAGAGAGAGAGAGAGGCTGCGGTGAAAGAAAAGAAATGGCCCGCCGGCAGGGCGATTCCGCGTTACGGCGGTGGTGTCATCGCTCTGTCCCTGTCGCACCCTTGGGGGCGCACCGTGTGAGTGCGAGAGAGGCGGTGACAGTGGCGTAGTACGGCACAGAATGGGCGAGCACGCCACTGGCTGCATCCGACGAATTACGCCCGGCGATAACGGCACGATAGAGAGCCTCCTCCTGCCTCTCTCTCTCCCTCCGCCGTGTTGGCCCGCGGTAGAGAGCCTCCTCCTGCCTCTCTCTCCCTCCGCCGTGTTGGCCCTCTCCGAGTCGAACAGCGCCGGCGGAGATTAGGCCGACAAATTTATGGCACGTCGCGGCGCGTCGTTTTTAGAGAGCCCGCGTGAAAATAAAATAAAAAGGAGACGTGCATATCTGTTGCGTTGCGTGCAAGCCGGGCCGTGGCGAGCCGCGCCCGCCGCGCCGTGCGAGTGCGAGAGAGAGGGAGGTGGATGCCAGATTGATGGATGGAGATAGGGCCTCGCCCCGGCCCGCCCCGATTCGCGTCGTCCCCGGTAATAATGAATGCCCCGCGCGCGTTAATTCCGGATTTGAATTCGGCTCCTACTAGTGATAATGGGTAATGGGTACAGCGCACGGACGAGCGGCTCACCTCCTCGCCGCCGCGAACAAGTGCGTGGCCGTGGCGGCGCGGGGCCCGGCGCTAGGCCCCTCTCCGACACGACAAGTCCATTTAGCCTCCGTGGCGGGGCGCGGCGGGGCGCGGCGGGGCCTATTTTTGGGGTGTCGCAAGAAGGCCCCGCCGCACCGTCCGCACCGTCCGGCGGCGTGCGTGTCGCCTCGCTCTCTCTCTCCGAGACTCGCCGTCTCTCTCGCTCTTGATGGATGGCGACGTGTTATCAGCCGCTTAGCCTGTATTATTGAGCGCCGTGTCCTCCTGGCCTCGGTCCACTCCACGCAGCGACGCAGCCTACAGAGACGCTAATCCATCCTCCTCCATCTCCTCCTCCTCCTCCTTCTTCTCGTCTCGTAATTCTCTTGCCGAGTATGTGGGCAGGCTATCGTCTTACTTTCGTAAACGACTTTTTGATAGACGCTGGTGTGCGTCCCTTCCCCGCTTCTCACGACTGTTACCAGTGCGGTGACCAGTTTCTCTTTCGTCGCCGCCTCCCCGTTGGCTGTGCGTCAGTGGAGGGTGGCAGTAGTGCGTCGCGAGGGCTCGGTTTTGGAACGGCGAACGGGCTGGAAGGGGGCGAGGGCCGGGCCAAGGGACCCAGAAGGGCCCCCGAAAGGGCCCCGAAAGTGCCCCGAAAGGGCCCCTTCGACAGGAAACGAGGAAGCGGACTCGTTTCCGCGCGTTTTCTCCCGTCAATTACGATTGAAGGCCGCGGCGTCGTCAGCGAGGACCGGCATACTGATTCCAAACAGTCGTCCTGTCTCTCTCGCACTCGTGCGGTGTGCCGCCAGGCTGCGAGAGAGAGAGAGAGAAAGAGAGAGAGCGAGAGAGAGAGAAAGAGAGAGAGAGAGAGAGAGAGAGAGAGAGAGAGAGAGAGAGAGAGAGAGAGAGAGAGAGCGAAAGGGGCCAAGTTCTGCTCGGAATCGGCCCGGGCCGCGGACCGGCGTTTCGAACAGCGCCCGAAATACATACTCAAGTACGGCATTGTGGATGCCGGCCGTGTTGCGGTGCCGCCGCGCGTGGAGGTCTCCGTCGACGTCGAGGCCGCCGCCGTGCCGCCCTGCGAGCGAAGTCCCCCGGACTGACGGTTGCTCTTCTGTTGCAGACACCAAGAACAGCATGGGGCTCGTGGGGTGCATCGAGGAGGTGGCGCACAACGCCATCGCCGTCTACTGGAACCCGCTGGAAAGCCCGGCTAAGGTAAGCCCTTTTCACCCATTTTCACGGCGCAGAAAAAAAAACAGAAAGTGCGGAAACAATTCCCGTTTCAAAATAGAAACAAATTAAAAACGATTCTGCTGGATTTTTTTTGCGGAGTAAAGAAAGCAAGTGGCTGGGGTTGCGTGGGCGCCGCGTCGACGTGCAAATCGATGTCGACGCCTCGCCCCGCCACTCCCACGCCGAGCCACTGCGTCGGCCACTGCGGCCAGACAGGCGCTGCCGGCCGCTGCCCCTCCACTAAGCGTCGCTGATCCACTGTGTGATTGTGTTTGTCGCAGATCAACGTGGCGGTCCAGTGCTTAAGTACCGACTTCAGCAGCCAAAAGGGCGTGAAGGTAAGTCCCATCCCATCCAAGGAGGTCGCCACATTTCTCACCCGGAAACGGACGTCGTGTCAACTTATTTTGGTCGTGGTTCTCTCTCGACAGGGCTTGCCGCTTCACATCCAGGTCGATACCTACGAGGACCCGAGAGACGGCCCCGTCTACCACCGGGGCTACTGCCAAATAAAGGTCTTCTGCGATAAGGTGAGTCGGCAACGGGGACAGAACGCACTCACACATTAACATTTTCGGCGAGAACGTGGAAGAGAAAGACAGAGAGAGAGAGGCGCGGTGCTGCAATGATGAGCGCGGCAGCCCGTTATTCCCGCCAGACGGCGGGGCGGGGCGGGGCGGGGCGGGGCGGGGCGAACAAGTGGCGTCGCATGGACTCGCATTCCTCGCTGTTGTAGACACATGTTGTAGCAAAGAAGTCGTGCAAGGGAACGCGGCGTGGCGGCGGCGTTTTGGATTCCATGGCCCCGCGCTGCTGCTGCTGCCCTTTCTTCCTTGTAGGTTGGCAGTCGTTGAAACCGCCTCCGACACACAGTGCAGTGCACCGTCCGTCGGCGGGACCCCCAAATTTTTGGCGCTGCGGTGTTGGCAGCCCTGGTCATTACGGGTAATGCAGTGTAACGCTTCGGCAACCTGGCTGGCTGGCTGGCCGCCTGGCCGGCCGGCCTGGCCCAGTGCAAGCAGAGAGCAGAGACAGCCATCAATGGGTGGACGTGCCCCGGCAGCCCGGCCAGCGGGTAATCAGTCCGGCCACGCCCCTCGCCGGGGAAAGCTTTGTGTGTGTGTGTTTGTGTGTGTGCGTGCGCGCGCACACACTCACACACACTCAACGTGCAATGTGTTCCACCTGACCCCCGACCACCGCTCATGCACCTCGCGGATTCAATCGAATCTCGCTCTCATGCGCGATCCACCGCAGCAGCAGCAGTGAAGAACCCCCACCCCGCCTCAAAAAAATTAACGAAAAAAGGGGGAAAGAGGTTGTGTGGAGGTTGGGCGAGGCGAGGCCGCTTCGCGCGGAGTGCTTCTTGCCGGGTTGGCCGTTTCCAATCCCGTCGTAAACTGTAAACGGGCGGATCGGCGCTGCTACGCTGCTACTTTCGGCCCGGCCATCCCCGCCGTGCCGTCGCCAGGCCATCGGGCCATCGCCAGATCCCTACCGGTTTTCACGCTGCCAGCGTTTTTCCATTCCGCCCAACGGCGCCTGTGGGACATGGAACGCGTGAGATAAAAAAAAAGGAGGGGCGGCGACGTCCAGCGTCGACGGCGAGGTGCTCGGCGAGGTGCTCGGCGAGGTGCTCGCGGCGCCACGCTTCCACGCAGCGAGTGCAGGCCGGCGTTATGGATGGCCTTACGGGGCTACGTGCGCCGCCTCGCCGCCGCGGTCGTCGTCGTCCTCCTGCAGGCCGATACGGAGCCTCGTCGCTCTGTCTCTCTCGCACCAGTGCGGAAGGCCCCGGGAGTGAGAGGGACAGAGGCTCCGTTCGAAACGAACGCGGTGGTGCTGGCGGTGGTCCGGTCGGAAATGCCGCCAGAAAGGTCAGACGCGGCGAATGCCGGCGGATGCCTACGCAGCGCCAAATCATAATGATATTGATAAATAAGAGGAAACGCGGCGCTGCCTATTTCGTGAGCGTTTTCGTAATGAAAACAATAAGCGGTAAATTATAGCCTGTCTGATAAGCCACGTACGGCTCGGCGGGTCGCGACCCCGTCCCGGCTCGCCCCTCGGCTGCCTGGGCTGCCGTCACCGGAGACGCCACTTCCGGTTTCTGGGCTCCGCGACGGAGTGCCGGAGGAGGAGAAGGAGGACGGGACGCCGCGTGTCTCCGGGTCGTTTAGGCAAATACGTCTTCTTATCGAGTGGGCCGGCGGGGCGGGGCAGGGCGGGCCCGCCAGCGCGATGAATAATGCAAACACAGAAGTGTTTCGGTCCGCCTGCGGCCCTGCGGCCTGGGCCCTGTATGGCGGCGTGGGGCGGCGCGGCTCTCGCTGGTCAGGGCGCGCGCTTCAACAGGTGGGCTCTCTAGTATACGGCGGCCTTGGCCGCGGCGGACAAGCGCGGCATTCAATTTGGCTCGTCGCGGCCCGTCGCTTTGCGCTGCAGTGCGGCGGGGTGGCCGGGGCGGCCGACGGGCACCTGACGGGGCACCTGACGGCGGTCCGCGCGCTGAATACCGATACCGCCATTACGCCGCCACGACGGCACCCAACGCGCTGCCGCCGCTCGCGCGCAGAAACTTAATTATAATGCGTCATTTTGCGGCGAGCCGAGCGCAGCTGCGCGGCCGAGCCGGTCGCCATCTTGCCGCCGGTCGCGACCAATGACGCGTCGCGGCGTCGCGGCCCGCCCCGAGGCGACGCCCCACCACGACGCCCCCACCGCGGCCGCCTGCCCGCCTTCGCGCCTCGCGGCGTCGCGCTTGGCGTCGCGCTCCGTGATTTGTATACGCGGAGTGCAGTGCGTCGCGTTTCAGGCACTTTGAGGCTCGCCGCCGCCTGAGTTATGGTCACTCTGTCTCCCTCGCACTCGTGGGGCTCCCCGTCGGTGTGCGAGGGAGACAGAGCGACGGAAGGCCTCGCTGAATCGCTTTGCTGCGCGCCGCGGCCATCCCGTCCCCTCCGGGTGGCGGCCGGGCGCTGGCTGGTGGGAGCGCCTGCGGACTGCGGGGCGGGCACCCCCGCCGAGCACGCGTGTGCCCGTGGTGCCTACCTCGCAGGCGCTCCGGCCACCGCTGCAGCCAGGAGGCACTGTCTCTCTCTGAGCGGAGTTCGTCAGTGTGCCGCGTCGTCGCGGTGCGCAGCGCGCGGTGCACTTGTTCGCTCTGGCCGGGTCGAGCAGCCCAGCGCCGCCATGACCCGCCTTTACGGCGAAGGCCCGCAAACACGCGGCCCCCGCCCCGAGCCTCGGCAGAGGGCCACTTACGGCCGATGCTGGAGCTAATTCGGGCTCATTTCGGCTATGGCTTATATATGATTATGGTTATGGCGAGGGCCCGGCCCGGGCTGGCGGCCCGGACGGCCCGGACGCCAGAGTGGCGATGAGGAGAGAGAAACTCATCGTGAGAGCAGAATCGGCCATGCCGCGCCGCCGCGCAGGACTGAGGCTCATTCATATAACGGGCTCCTCCTGCGGCCTATGTGGGCCTATCGATGCAGCAACAACGAGCCTCGCCGCCGAATCCGTGTCTTGGTCCTCGCCGTCCTCGCCGTCTCGCTGGGGATATAAAGAAACGCGCGGGCGACGGGCCAATTTAATTAAATTTCGAGTCGATATCTTCGCTGCGGAATTCGCCGCGCCCGGAGCGGAGCCGCAGCCTGATTGGGGACCTCGGGGACCTCGTCTCGGCCGGGACGTTGACGGAACATTGGCCCTCTATCCCTCTATCTGATCGGGCGACCGTCGTCAATCCGTTTTCTATCTCTCACGGCGGCGGGGTGGAAGGCGAGCCGCGCGCCGCGCAGTGGCAAGCCATGGGCAAGCCGAGCACGTCGAAGCGCAGCCAAGCCAAGCCCGCCCCGCGCGACACCGACTCGCCGTCTGCCGCCGTTTTTATGTGTGTTCATCGAGAGGACGCCGACGGCGGCCGACGGCCATCGGCGGTGGAGTGACCGCGCAGTCGTCCCGTCGCTCTGTCTCTCTCGCACTCACGGGGCTCTGCCGCAGGCCCGCAGGGGTGCGAGAGAGACAGAGCGAAGCACTGAGCGGAATCGCGCCGCTGCCAACCCTGCGGTCCGAGAGTCCGAGGCGCGGCGGCGCGGCCGGCGGAGCGACAGGCGTTTTACACGCACTCAGGCCGACGTGGGGCGTGGCGCGGCGCGGTGCTCATCGGCGGCCGATCCTCGCTGGACGCCATGTTCGGTCGCATATAATGGTTTTTAATTTCGCCTATTTCATGCTTCGGCCGAGCCTTGGTCGAGCCTCGGCGTCGTGGCGGGGCGCGGCGGGGCGGCGGAGGCGGCGGCGCCGTGAGGCAGGAACCTAATTAAGCTATACATCGCCGCGCCGCCCCGCCCCGTCATGCCCCGACGCACCGCCGCGCCACACGCCCGTGGACTTCCTAAACCAAATTTACGGTTACGTTCCTAAACTCTCCGCGGCGTCCGGCTGGCGCGCTGGCGGCCGGGCCGAGCGGGCTGGTAGTTCGGCAAGGGGAACATGAGCTGATCGAATCGAGCGGGGTTGCCGGGGTCCCACGGCCCCGCGGCCGCGGCCTTGGCGGGCTAGGTGGTCGCCGGGCCGGCGTCGCGTCGCTGCGTCGTCGGCGTGCTCGGTGGACCCCGGGCTCCAGACTCCGCTCCGCGCTCCGCTCGCATGATGGATCGCCGGCCGCCGTGCTTGTCGCCGCGTCCCCATCTGGACCATCTGGACCGGCCGAACCATGTCCGTCGTGGGCTTCCCCGTCCTATCGGGCGCAGGAGGCCTACTTCGAAAACAAAACGAAAACAAAATAAAGATGGAGAGCTTTTGTGGCGTTCATTGCGGGTTTTTTCTTTCCACCGGCAGGCAGTAGCCTCTAGCGGGAACACGCGGAGGACAAAATATGATTGCGCGGACAAAACACACACGGATCCAGCGGGCCCGCGCCAAGCCGCGGGGCCGCAGCGAACACGCGATTTATGATGACTTTATAGTATTGCGCGCGGGCCTCTGCCGTGCGTGTGTATGTGTGTGTTCGGCATGCGGCCACACACACGCACGCGCACGCACACAATCACAGATCAGAGTCAAGGGAACAGTGGCGTGGCCAGAAGAAAGAGCCTCACGGATCGCGTAATTTGTCAGGCAGCGGTCCGGACGTCCACGCTGGTCTTTGCCCTGGGCGTGGCCGTGGAGGCCCCGGCCGACGTGCCTCGTCGCCCTGTCTCTCTCGCGCCGCAGCGGCACGGCGGGACGCCCCTCGAGTGCAAGAGAGACGGGGCGACGACGACGACGGCACTGTCCGGAATCGAACTACACGACTGCGCTCCAGAGCCGCACGGCGACGACGCGGTGCGGCCTGACAATTCATTAACGGTGCGGGGCACGGCGGCGACATGGCAGTGGCGGCGGCGGCGGCGGCGCGCTGTTGTGGAAGTGCCTCTTTCTGTCCGCGACGCAGTGCCCCCGCCGGCGTCCGTCAGCGTCCCCCCGGTGGCGCACTTCATCGCGCTCTTTTTGCGCCCCGCGGCCGCGAAGCCGCGCCATACAGAGCGCTCCCCATAAAGCACGGCGTCGTCGTGGACGTCGTCGTGGACGTCGGCCTGCAGGTGGCGGCGGCCGTGTCGCAGTAACGCCTCCCCCTCCCCCTGCTCCTCCGGCAGTCTTCTTTTCTCTTGGCGTCTTTGTAATTGACCCGAGAAGCCATTCCGAAATGGAACAAGTGTAATTGATATTGGGTACTTGGCGGTGCCGGCCGGCCATCCAAGCGGCAACGTTATGTGACCGTGCGGCGGCGGAGGGGGAGGAGGGGAGGGAGGGGGAGGGTCGGTACGCGATACGTCTGCCCTCAAACGCCAATCCCGCGTGGCCGGCGCGGCCGATACCACGCCGGGAGGGGCGGGAGGGGAGGGGAGGAAGGGGCGGTCAGCCGCCGGGAATCAATTGTCTTTCATTGCACGCCGCCGCGGTGGATGTCGTTGCTGGTTGGCTGGCCGCCTGGCCGCCTGGCCGCACCCACACCGTCCAGCGTCGCTCCGTTCCGTGCCGCTGGCGCCGCTGGGCGCGCGCGGCTAGCGCCGTGGAGGTAGGCCGCGCGGGCCGTGCAAGACGCGCGTGTGCTGCGGTGCTGCCTGCCCCGGCTGGCCGCAGGCGCTCAGCCTCCAGTGCGGCGACGCGACGCGCCATGCCGGAGCGTCGGAAGGGACTTCAGGACCTCTCTGTCCGTGTCCCGGACTCCACGGCGAGGTCCCGCAGGACAAGGCCCCGACGGTTATCTCCCCCCGACGCGACGCCGTGGTGCTTGACGCCATCGTCACTACGGCGACGGCGGCACGGCGGCTGCAACGCGCGGCGCGCCCGCCGTCCTAAAATATGTTTGTTAAATGTCGCCGGGGACTTTTATTTTAGTGATATTTCTCCGCGGCCCGGGGGAAGGTGGGAGGGAGAGGGCTCCTCATCCTCGCCTGAAATATGTTGCCCCTTCGCTTTTACGACTCGTGTGCTCTTTTGCATGCCGTGGCGTGCCGTGGCGCGGCGTGCCGTGTCGAGGAGGAACTCGAGACGGCGGAGGGGAGTGGAAATAAAAGCCGAGTCTGTGTGTGTGCGCGCCTGAGTGCGTGCGTGTGTGTGAGCGTGTGTGCTTTTGGAGGGCGGTGGCAGGGATAGGTGACGCGCTGGTCAATAAACTCGCAGAATTCCAAATTTGAGCCGAGCCAGGCGGTCGGTCGGGGGCGCGACTCGGCGCGGCATTCTGATCTGAGATTCCCGCGTCGAAAGTTGGCAACTCTATACCCGTTCTGACACCACGCCAGGCCATGCCAGGCCACGCCAGCCCGGCCGAGGGGCGTTATGGATTCGGGATGCGTCGCGGCGTCCGATGTGGTGTTTTGCGTAAGCGCCGAATAGGAGAAGCGCCAACGGGTCGCGTCTCTTTCATGCCAACAATTTCTCTACGTCTTTTATATCTGTGAAAGGCAGAGTGTTGAGATGGGGAAAAAAATAAGAAAAAGACTGTTCAGGGGAAGGATTCCAACCCGCGCCAAAGCGGATTACTGACCTTGTGTCTTTGTTTGTTGCAGGGCGCGGAGCGGAAAACCAGGGACGAGGAGCGGCGGGCCGCCAAGCGGAAGATGACCGCGACGGGCCGCAAGAAGCTGGACGAGCTGTACCACCCCGCGCAGGAGCGGTCCGAGTTCTACTGCATGGCGGACCTGCACAAACCCCCCGTCCTGTTCACGCCCAGTGAAGAGGTGAGTGAGTGACTATCTCAGAAATAGTCGGCCTTGATACTTGTTTTCCCCATTGTTTTTGCCGGGTGTGTTTGTCCCCTGCTGATTCGCACTTTTTTTTCGTCAATGTTCCAGCTGACGTCAATGGAGTTACAAGGCTTTTACGGCCACGACACGGACAACTCCAGGTGAGTTTGAACGCCTATTTTTTTTCTCATTTTACCTGCCATGCACTGCTCTTTTTTTCGACGTTTCATTCCGTTTCTCTTTTATCTGTCTGTGCTTTCTCCAAAGCCGATTGCATGTTGTTTGTGACGGGTTGCATGTAGTTCGCGCCACCATCAATTCTTTTTTTTTTCGGGGGAAGGGGGGGGGGCTGCCGAAACTTCCGTATCAATGCTAGCAGGTCCTTATTACGGCCATAATCTCTGGCAACGTATTGCTTGCGTCGCGTCGTCACCCCGATGACACTTTTTATGGCGTCGACTTATTGAGATGCCAAAACTTTGGACCGTCCGCCGTCGGGTTTATTTCCTTTTTAACGTGGGGCCTAAATAACTCTGACAGCTAGGTGTGATACATATCCAGTGTCCCCTGCCGAGGGCCCGCGTGCCCGCCCGTCGCGTGCTGTACTGTGGCCTCAATATAGGCTTTTTTTTTTCTTTAAAAAAAAAAGAATTATAAACTGAGTTTTTAAAAATAAATTTTCCCTTTTTCTTGCCTTGGTTTTTCCTGCTGGCATGACCTTGCTGACTCTGTCTTTCTCTCTGTCTCGCAGCGTGTCGAACGGTGAGGGCGGCCTCAAGACGGCCGGGACCTCCCCTTTCCTGCTGCACCCCACCAAACCCCTCGCGCACCAGACCCTCAAGTTTCACAATCACTTTCCACCAGATGCGCCCGGGTGAGTCATGCGCCCCCCACCCCCCACTTCATTCTCATGTCTCCACCCCCTCGCACACCTTCACGGGCATCGGAGTGGACATCATCATGCATGAGCAGGTGACTGATTCCTAGAGTCGTTAAGTCGCCCATGGAGTGCGAGAGAGACAGAGCGACGAAAACGACTCTCGGAATCAGTCTGCTGGAGCGCGCCTCCCCACCGGCCTGCAAGCTGCCTGCAAGCTGCAAGCGCTGCAAGGGACTCTTGTGGTGTGCTGCCCTTGGCCGCCCTCTGCCTCATCGCTTTTGTCGCTGGCGAAGCAAGCGGAGCATGACCGAGTAGCTTCCCGTCCAGCTTTCGGTTGTTTATCTTTTCTTCGTGAGACGGCTTCTAGTTTTGTCATGTTTCGCCGTCGTCATTCACGACAGCTAGTAGTTCCCGCGTTTACTTCCCCAGTCGGTCTTCCCCGCACCGCGGGCATGAAGGCCCCCTCGTCCCTCCCCCCTCCACCGCGTCGGCGGCATTGCCACTTTTTCGATCCCCGACCGAGTCACTAACTTGTTTCTTTTCCCCCAGCATCAAGAAGGAGCACTCCTTGGAGCCGGAGCCGCTGTCGACGGACGGCGGCCTGTTCAGCTCGCCCGCGCTCAAGAGGCCGCGGCTGGTGGGCCCGCCGGGGACGACCGTCGGCGTGGGCGTGGGCCAGCCCGCCGCGACCCAGCTGTCGCACCACGGCAACCACGGGCTGGGCGGCGCCCCGCACGTCGCGCACTCGCCGCACTTGCCGCACTCACCGCACGCCACCCACCACGCGCCCCTCATGGCCCACGGCCACGTCTCGCCGCCGCCCCTCACCGAGCGCGTCATGCTGTACGTGCGCCAGGAGAGCGAGGAGTACTACACGCCCCTGCACATGGTGCCGCCGTCCACGCAAGGCCTCCTCAACGCGGTAAGCATCCCCCGCCTCCCCCCCACCCCCTGTACATACTGTCTGTCTGGGGTGAGCCGATCGGAACGACCCGAACCGCGCAGTAGAACTACCGTGCGCACTGGAGACGAGGCCTGCAAGCTGGACATTGCAAGGAATGTACCACAAATACCTGAAAAAGAAAGGAGGATGTATGAAGTCAAAGTTGTGGTGGACGTGGTGATTCTTCGGAAGAGGCTTGAGTGAAACCTACCAGTAACTTTTACTAACATGTGGACCCTGCTACGACGTGGGGTCGGGTGCATGTTGTCCGTGCAGTACTACGTCTTCAATCTGTGTTGCATGGAATGTTGCGTGGGTTGTGGCTAACAATTGGCCCTCTTTGCATGACTTGGGACCTATTTTCAAAATTTTCAGAGAATAAAAATTAAATTTTTTGCTGTTAAAACTAGTTTGAACAGCACTTGAAGTTTTTTTTTAGAAACGAGACAGACTTGATAGTTTTGGAAAATTTACATAGAGTTATACTAGGAAAAAGCCCAAGATTTGCATGGGTCCTATTGTTAGATTTGCAATCCGTGGATTTTTTCTTTTTTGAGAGAATGTTCAGGAGAACTAATGCGTACATTCCTCTCCTTTTGTTTCCAGATTGAGAATAAGTACAAAATTTCCCCTTCAAGCATAAGTAACTTGTATCGAAAAAACAAAAAAGGGTAAGTTGAGCTGCAGGAGCGCTCATTTTTCTAGTTTTCCTCTCTATTCTCAGATGTGCACACAGGTTTCAAATATCTTGGCACTACTAATTTGGTCTGGTTTAGTTGGTGTAGTTCCATTTCATGGCAGCATGTATAAATAACTATTAACAATTATTTTTTTGATACATTAAGAAAATGGTGGTTGTTTCTAATGCATGTAAATACAAACTGTAATGTTAATCTCATCTTTTTGTTTCTTGTAGTGCATGTGCTACTTCTAGTGGTATACACAATCTAGATTAAACTTTGCTATAACAACTTTTCTTGTGCTTATTAAAGCAGTTTTCATAAAGCGTCTTTTTCTTTTCAATTTTTAAAGTAAATGAATTTTTATTGCATCTGCTGAGTGGTTCAGTGTAATGGGATATTAATTTGAATAATCCACAATTATTTATTTTATGTAGTTCATTTTGCATGACATCTCTCATTGAAATATAACACTGTCCTAAAGCCTAAATTTATACAAATTTCTCTCTTGTTTGCAGGATTACGGTCAAAATTGATGATGAAATGTTAAAACATTACGTGAATGAAGATCTCTTCATTTTAGAGGTCAAACGTGATACTCATGCAGATGAAGAAGAATTATATGAAGTCACTCTCATAGAGCAACTTAGTCCATGAAGAAAGTGAAACAGAGAGGACTCCTTGTAGCTGGAGTAGCATGGACAATTACTGGCATTTGTGTCAGATACATCAGCTACAAAGAAACTTCGGAATTTAAATGAACTGTGAGGACTGCAGCATCTTGTTGAGTGCGAGATGAGCGGCTGTGAAGAACGCAGAGCTACATGCAACTGAGACAGCAGTAGAATGTAAAAAGTTGCGCTTATAGCACTACCCTCATGTACATTCAATCCATAGGGAATGCAAAATGCAATGCATTGCCCAGGGACTCTGATTGTTTCGCTTGTGATTGTTCTTGTGATTTCTGATGTATTGTAGGATTTTATTTTTTAATTTATTACATTCAATGCAGAGAATCTCTGTTTTTAATGAAAGGGAAAAAAAGACACATTTAGCAAGCAAAAGCTATTATACTAGTGCCCCCATCAAGTAAATAAATGGTCCATAAGCTGCTCAGTAGTTGGTCACTTTAATAGTCACATATGCCTTGTTCTAAAACAAGTGTTAAGTAATTCAGAGTACTATTTAGATTATTATAAAGAAAAGCTGTAATGAGTATGTCAAGCATAATCCTTCTTCAGGGTGAAGTGTGATCTCAAAATAAGTGGAAGTTCTTAGAATGGAGTTATTAAACACTCTCATTCAACAGCAATCAAAAGCAAATGATATAGTGCAATAACTGAGGCTGTACAACGGGTCTAAGTTACGCTCATTATGATGGTACCCAAAGCCCTAAGTCACGCTTTGGGGCCCAAGCTCAACGTGGAACAAGACTGCGTGCCGAAAGCATTCGCTCAAGATATGTCTTTGTGATAAAAAAAAGACAAACGGTAGACTTATAGTCTGAGCTGTGTATCTCCCAACCAGCTCAGGCATGCTCAATCTCATGCATCCACGCCATAATATCTGCAGGGATTCTGAGGTGGGGAGGCTGTTGTACCATGAGTGCCTACAATGCTCTGTATAGTATGTGTCTAATTTATTTCAATAGTGTTCTTTTTGTTTTGTTTTCTGAACAAGTTATTGCGAAATGTTATTTTTAAAAAGTATCAAATGTTAACAGTTATAGCATGCTACTTCTGTATAAAATGTTGTTTTTTTGTAATTATGTAAATGGAATGAGTCTCTCTCTATTGTCTTTACAGAAAGATCTATATATTTTATGTGTCTATATCCTTGTAGGTTTTCTAAAACAAACTGTCTTTGCAGTGAGTCAAATGTGCCAAAAATATTAAATTAGAGCAGCATATTTAAAGGCAATTGCTTTTAAATTGAAGAAGTATCATTTTTCTTAAATTTTACCATTTGAAATGGTGCCGTACTCAGTACTTTGAAATATTTTTTTTTCCAAGATTTGGACTGCATTGCAAATGTGCAATGAACTGAAATCAAACAAACCTTGCCATAATGTTATAGACTGCAGTGGCCGTGTAGGTGTAAGTAAGCAGGCAGCAAGACGGAGAGCATGGTACAAAAGAGTCGTGGCTATCCGTCTGCTCAGCCTAGCAACCAAAATGTACAAATTATAGAGGTATTTTAGCCTTAACAAATTAACAATCTGAAATCCCGTTTAAAGAAAAATATCATCCCACTGTATGTATTGCATTGTAAATAGATATTTTCTAGAGTACAAACAGATGAAATCTTGCTCAGACAACAGCAACAATGAAAGCATGCTTTGTACTCAAAGTGTGATAGGAAAATTCGTCTATTCAAGTATTTATGCTCAGAGTTTTAACACTTATGTGCTTTCAATACACTAGAATGTTGTGCTTGATTTTTATACAAAAAGTTTTATATAAATAGTGTATGTAAAGAAAGGGCGGCTTGTTTGTGAAGTCGCCATATGGCACTGTAAAGCCAGCCATGTATCAATGTAGTTATGTTGTGGTATTTTGGACACCTTCAAGTTGCTTTATGTTATTTTTTTTTAATATTGTACTATCATAGTTATGTTTTGTGCCGTATTGTTCAGGTGCAAAATAAAATTTATATTATGTATTACACATTTTACCTTATGGATCACCAACCTTGGGGTGCTCTGAATCAGACTCCACCCACTCCAACACAATCGATTTAAAATCAGAATTGCACTTTTGCCACAAATTCAAACAAAAAAGGTTGGCATATTTTAAACAAAATACCTAATGGTCTTTGACACATTCAATTTGGTTTCCCGTGATGCCTGTAAGAGGCTGTGGACAATGGATTGCCTACCTAACGGGCGCAGGCAACAAATATTCCCAGTTTTTCGCCAGAGAGAGACTGTTAAGGGCCGAAATAGACCCCAATATATTGTCAGGAGTCACAAGGGAGTGCTCTAGCACAACACACTGCAATGTAGACCTTTTGAAATTTTTTTGCCAAAACGTCAAAAAACCATGATGTATGGCCTTACCTGCCTTACCAGTCGAGTTGAGGTGCGATGAAGAAGCTGTGGACGATGGGTGGCCTACCGCCGTGCGCATGCGTGCGACGTTTGGAGGCTGTGTGTGCACGAAGGGTTGCCAGCCTCTCCGGCGCGGGCTCGGGAAGTACGCCGCGAGGGCAGGCAACCCATTCGACACCTTTCCCGATGAACTTGTCTAGGACAGGTATCTGGTTATGCCCAGCGAGGATTTTCTAATGGGCTTCTTTAATTGCACCGTTTAAAATTTTCATGTGGAATCGCAACAAAATCCCTCCACACATTAGCTAGAAAATTACAATAAAGTGTATTGATCCATGTTGTCCTCTATGTGATGAAAATGTACAGCCAAGGTTTAGGACCTTTTGGGCATGCCAAAAAACAATAAATAAATAATGCTTAACAGGAATTACAACTGATGTTAAAAATGTAATTTCTCTCTTCCTTTTTACATTGATCTTACACATGCCAAAACCAATATTGCACTTCAAAATAAACTCCAATGTACAAAAATCATAGTAAATAATATAAAGATCTAAAAATAAAACATGTCCATCCCGGTAAAATTTATAGAAAAGCATATTTTTAACACAGGTGAGCTACAACAGTGACAAAAATTTCACAGAGCCTCATCAAGTGATTTGACACAATACACTGGAGTAAGGGTGGTGCCTGTCTAGAGTGGACGGCAACCCTACAACATTGTACAGCATACTAGCACAAAGTGGTGCTGCTAGAGGGAACAAATGAATCCAAGCTTAAATTTGATCCAGAAGCCAAACTTTTAATTTTAGATCCCAAATTTCCCCCATCTAGGTGTATGATAAACAATGCTACATTCTTGAGACTAAACCAAATTTTCCCTGTATAGTACAACAAAGTAATAATTTATAAAAGGGAAAGTCTATAAAGTACGGTTAATCAATTTGGAGGATCAGAACAGCCACATTTATTTGAAGGGATGAATATGTTGAAATTTCATTCTGCACTAAATATTATAATCATCCTAAAGTCTGAAATGCATCCCTTAACTCAGTGCTTATGTCCCAACCAGTCTCAACAATTCAACTCTTTAAAAGAATACAGTGAAGAAAATTTAAAAAATTAAAACATTCATGTAATTTTATGTATGTACAATGGGAAAACAAGTTGTCCTTCATAATTGATTCATAACCCATTCACATATTTTCACAGAACGATAATAACAATCACCCAGATTTTTGTTGCATTAGTGACTAAAAAACAAAACAAAACATTGTTTAGACACTAGGTACTGTATCTGGCTTGTCCTGGTCTTTGTCACCATCAAAAAATTCCCCAGCTGGTTCAACCATTTTGTCTTCATCTATTTGATTTATTCTTACATCAGGGTCAGCTTCATCCTTCATAATCGCATCCCTTTCTTGTACAGCTAAGGCATCACCAGGAACGTCTTGCATTTGAACGCTGGGGGCATGCTGAACCTAAAATGGAATGTTTCAATTAGGCAATAAATCAATGAATGAATCAAACAAAGCTCTTCAATTTTAAAAATTGAATAAGTCTGTACCATTTTTAAATTATCATATACATGTTTTGTAATGGCTTCCAGGTACTGTTTGGAGTTAGCATTATCTTGCCGAGTCACAACCTCAGGGTGCAGAGTGAAGTCGGGAGCAAAATACTCTAAATACTCATTATAGGGAATCTCATTGTTAATGTCTTCATCAACAAGCAGAGATGTTTCGTACGTCCAACATCGGGCAACATTGCGAAGGGTGTACCTGAAATAAAATAAAGAATAATACAGAAATGGTGAAATACAATTAGAAAAATATGTATAACTGCTAGGTATAGGAAATGAACAAAACAAATAAAGAACTCACCCTCCACCTCCTAAAGTGAGAAGGGGTACATTTAAGTCTCGGACAAACTTGACACATTCACCATGACCTTTAGTGCTTAAACTAAAACAACCCAATCGGTCATTGCCTAAAGAATCAGCACCACATTGCAATACAATCGCGGTTGGCTGGAAGAACTCCATCACAGCAGATATTACTGGTTTAAATACCTGCAAAATTAGATAAGTGATAAGATCTCTTTTAACATAGTACTTAAAAACAACAGAATAGGAAATATTTAAACTACTTACAGAATAATAACTTGCATCGTCAATGCCTTCTCTTAAAGGTACATTGACAGAGTAATAGCGACCACTTTCTGCTCCTATTTCATACATATCACCAGTGGCGGGGAAGAAGTAATTTCCATACTTGTGGAATGACACAGTCATGACTCTATCAGTCAAGTAGAATGCTTCTTGCACCCCATCACCATGATGCACATCAATGTCAATGTACAGTACACGAGGGTGGTACTTCAGAAGTTCAAGGATTCCTATCACAATATCATTAACATAACAAAATCCACTAGCTTCAGTCTTTTTAGCATGATGTAGCCCACCAGACCAGTTGATAGCTATATCACAACTGTTATGATTGAGCTTTATCGCTCCTTCTAATGATGCACCAGTGTACATTGAACAGAAGTCAAATAGCCCTTCAAACACAGGGCAATCGTCACCAACATTAAAATGGCTCAAATATTTTGTATACTGCTGAAGGTTTTGCGGAGTAACTCTCTGGAGAAAGTCAATGTATTCTTCTGAATGAAATCGGCACATATCGTGAACACTGGCACGGTAAGGCCTATAGAGCTGCATTTTCTTATGCAGATTATAGTTGAGCACTAGACTATGAATGACGGAGAGTCGATGAGGTTTCATCGGATGTCCTGGCCCATAGTGGAAATTGCCCACATCGGGGCTGTAGAAATAGGACACCTTTTTAGACATCTTGACGCTATAACGTTAAGGTTATAGTCACACTTCAGGTGACAGGTTTATCTCAACGTTTCTCTTAACATCACGAACTGAGGGCACAATATCATTATAGCAATGATCCTTCATCCAGCTCTTCTTAAGAATAAGATAAATAAAGTCAGAAATGTAGTATATAAACACAATAGAAACCCCAAATTTGTGTCGGTCAAAATTTTTGGGTTAGTTTCACCAGTGTTGTTTATCTCAACCCTTTGCCTGCCCCCGCCCTCCCCGCCCCTTCCCTTTCCAAGCTTTTCAGTTCAAGTTGATGAAAAGTCAAGTACATCCTTTTAAAAACAAAGCTAGTAAAAGTTATCAAGAAAAATAATGCAGATTGTATTGAAATAATTAGCTGAGAAGAGAAAATCAGCTTGGAAAGGGGAGTGGTCACTTTGTGGCGTCAGTGGTCGCTTCTCCAAACGGAAATGTAGCTAGCAGCGCGCCTTGCGGAGGAAAAGCGAATCAAAAGCTCCGTGGTCCTTCCGTTGCTTGACATCACCTCATTTAGTCGGCGTGCAACACGTTTCGCGTCTCAAGCAGACTTAAAAGTAAGTTGGAGTATTTACTTGTGCCTAAGTATTTTCATTTGTCCAAGAATTGGTTACCTGTGTTCTGAGACACTGATATTGGCCCGAGTGAAGCTATTTTGGTCTCACTTTCATCTTCCTGCGCACTTCGTGTCTTAACCTCTCTTCAACCATGCCGACGGCCTGAAATTGGCAAGAAATTCAGTATCTTACTGAGTGGGCCTCTCTATCTCTCCGTGGTTGCTTTGTTCTCTCAGTTTTTCGAATTCGTTTCCCATTTATTCTGCGCCTACACCCGTGAATGGGGCGCCGTGGCCAGATGCCGATTCCACGTGTTCGCGGTCATTGTCGTACAGTTGGTGGCCCCACGCCGCGGCGCCCGACTGTGTTTCATGCATCTTCTGTTTTATATTCTCTCCGAAGCACTTTTTCAAAATTTGTATCCTCCAAGGTTCGCGCGTCTTGCGGTAGTTTCTAAGTGTTGTGTGATCACACCCGGCTTGATCTGGTCCGCTTTGTTTTATATTTGCGTTTGCTTTTCTTTCTTTAAAAAGAAATAGTAAATTGTACCTTGTCTAATGTTCCTTACTTCCCAATGCTTTGATGCTCAGTTTGTGGCCTGTTTGTTTCTGCATGGCCTGACTACTGTACAGGTTATTTTGATGCCTGTCTGTGTGTGTATGTGTGCGCACCTGGCTTCTGTGGTGAAAGGCGCAATTATTTTATCCCTCCATTTCTTTGCTGTTTCAGAATGCGTTACGTGGCTGCATACCTGTTGGCCGCCCTCGGCGGCAAAGAGAACCCAGCTGCTGCCGACATTGAGAAGATCTTGAGCTCAGTCGGAATTGAAGCTGACAGCGCTGCATTGACCAAGGTCATCGCTCAGCTCAAGGGGAAGAACCTTGAGGAGCTGATCAAGGAGGGTAAGTTGGCTCACTTTGGTTTCGTGCTTCTCCTGTTGAGATTAGTTTCCGATGTTGACCATCTCCTCCGTTACAGGTAGTGCCAAGCTTGCTTCCATGCCCGCTGCTGGTGCTGCTCCCGCAGCTGCTGGTGGTGCTGCCCCGGCTGCCGCCGCAGAGAAGAAGGGTGCGTAGATCTTCATGTGACTCGAATTTCCTGTGTATGTCTGTGTTCTAACTTTCTGTCCCATTACAGAAGAGAAGAAGGAAGCCAAGAAGGAAGAGTCTGAGGAGGAGGACGACGACATGGGCTTCGGTCTTTTCGACTAAATCAATGTAAGTACCTAAGTTTTGTTTAAATCATCTTGAAAGTAATTTGTGGTAGAAATACATTATTTGGTTGTTCAGGTGTATGAACTTTTGCTGTCCTTATAAGGATTTTTCAATTATGTCAAATAAAGAGTGGGTTCATATTTTTCTTATTTTTTAACATGTTGAGACTTGAGGCTTCATGATGATTACTTTACACCATCTTTCGGCTGACAATCTTGATGCCAACCTTTTTGTATCTGATGGCTTCATAGTTCCCATAGTGTGTTTTTCTGATTCTTCAATGTGTCGTATAAGCTAAGTTGTCATTTCATCACTGGTTTTTTCATGACTTTGATTTTTTTTAATTGACTGGCTTGTGGATGAATTCTAAGAAGCTTAATGATGATTTATTATCACCATCTTTCGGCTGACAATCTTGATGCCAACCTTTTTTTGTACCCTGATGCTTCATAGTGGCCTAATTGGGTGTTCCTGACTTAATTTTAAATTGACTGTTCCAATTGTGAAAGTTATCAAAGAAGCTCAATGATGATTGATTTTAACACCATCTTTCGGCTGACAATTTTGATGCCAACCTAGATTATCTGATGCTTCATGAGCTATTTTAAACCCTGCCCTGAAATGAGGTCTTCTGCTTCTATCCCAAAGCGCATTTTGGGTGGTGATGCTTTCACTCTTTTTTATTGGTGTCTTGTAGTTGGTTTTCTAACCCATGTTTTCTGTTTCAGGTCGCTGCAGCTGTACATCAAGTTGGACTGGCCTCTCATCATTCCCTATTTTTACCTAGGCTAAGTTTGATATTAGACCTAATATTTAGGTCGGAGTATGTGTGATGAAAGCTCAGTTTAATTTGGTGCCCAATAAATTGTCAAAATACACATTGTTTCTTTCTTTTCCTATGGTCATAGACTTGCTTGCAGGTACATTTAAGCTGGAGCATGCTGCCAAGGGTTCCTATTCCAGGTGGCCCGCAAGTTTGGTGCCCACTGTGCAGTTGATCTAGTGGTAACTAACTTGCGGGCCACTATGGTAGGTCCAGTCTTCTCATCAACACTCGTCTAGCCTTGTCAATTTATTGGTTTCAATAAAATAATCTTTTTGAAAACATTTGTTCCTCATTTTTTCCTTTTATCACCTTTGCTATGGAAGTACTTGAGTAAAGCCAACTAAATCCACATAAACAGAATTTGGTTCTTATATGGGGTGTATGTAGTCCATGCAATGGCTGTAGAGATACTTCATGTTGGAAATTTCCAGAACTCCAGGCCTGTTATGGGTCACTTATGAGCTGACTTATGCACCATTTTATATTGACAAAAGGTCAGGGATTGAATTAAGGACACAGGTTCAGTATTTCTTTGAATCATTTATGACCTAGAAATCTATACAAATATCACAGACCAGACTCTTTTTCTGGTAAACAGTATGTCACAGAATAATGTTCAAAATAGACATAACAACACATGCTTTAAAAAAACAAAACAAAACGGGCATTAATAGCTTTCCCAAATTAAAGCTTTGGTATCTTTAACAATTCATTATCGTGCAAAAAAAAAAGTTGATAAATAGCACCTATTATTATTAACAGAATGTACAAGTTGATGGCAGTGAGATTGACTTTGTGAGGCACTTAATGGCGAGCAGCAATTCCTTTTAATTCAGGAGGATGGAGGAACTGACAATTTGCAGTAGCACAGTTTCCTCTCTTGAAGTATCGACATACTCTCTTTGAAGGACCACCTGGGCCAGACCAGCCTCCTCGTCCTGTTCAAACAAAGAAAGAACACAATGTTACATGTTACTGGGCAAAGAACACAAAACTACAAGAAAATATTCCAAAAATAATTAATAACAAACGGCAAACAAAAAAGACACACACCTCTTGAGCTCCCTCTCCAGCTGTCACCAGATCCTCCTCGGTACCAGCCTCGACCCCTTCCTCTGCTGAAGCCAGAGCCGCCTTGGTTACCGCCAAATCCTGATCCTCCTTGGTACATGTCATAATTTCCTTGGTCCATTCCTTGGTACATGTCTTGTCCATTCATCATTCCATAGTTCATGTCAGGGTTCCAACTCCCATCCATGTTTTGATTGTACATATCCATCCCAGGTCCCATTCCAGGACCCATCCCAGGTCCCATTCCTCCGTCCATTACGGGTCCCATTCCTAGGCCCATACCAGAACCCATTGCAAGTCCTGGATTCATTCCCATGTCTGACATGACAACCTTGCCATCGCCAGTCTGAAAAAGGGGGGGGAAAATTATTAGAAAATGATCAGACGATAAGTACCATTTGATCGTCACAAAGTGACATTATGTTGCAAAAACAAAATGTGAAAAGGAAAGACACTTACCCTCCAGTCTCCTCCAGCAGTGTGGTAGCCGGTCGGGGGGATGTTGGGCGTCTGCAGCAGGGCGGGCCCGTGGTGTCCCATAGGCTGGGAGGGCAAGGGCATCTGGTGGGAGATGGTGTGCGAGTGGGGCGGCGACTGCGGGATCAGCACGGGCTTGGACTCGGGCCAGGGCGTGTTGGTGTAGTCGTTGACGCTGTTGGAGCCCATCAAGTCGTCCAGGGGTATCCGCACCGGGTCCGTGGGGGTGAAGGCCACGACGTCGGGCTCGGCGGGGCTGTCGGGGTTGCCGAGGTTCTTGACGTAGATGGGGGAGGCCGGCGTCATCTTCTCGCGGGCGAACTGCACGTCCTTCTCCCTGGACTTGCTGCCGTGCTCCACGTCCGAGGGCGGCAGGTCGATGGGGATGAGCGGCGCCCAGACGGTGTGCTCCTTCATCTGGTCCTCGCCGCTCACGCGCCGCGCCATGTGGAAGTTCTCCCTCTCGTGCACGCGCTCCATCTGCTTCATGTCCATGAACGAGGTCTTGGTCACGTTCACTGAAGGCAAACGAGGGCAGTTAGCAACGAGAAAAAATCAAGCAAGTGGTTCATTTGAGGCGGGCGAGCGGGTTGCCTGTCCTTACCTCTTTCCGTCTCGTCCAACTCGAAGTACTGCACCGCCTCGAGCTCCGAGTCCGCCTTCCACTTGAGCGACTTCTTGGGCTTCTGGCTGGAGCGGTGGAAGACCAGCACGCCGCGCGGCAGCCTGTTTTTCTCCCGCTCCATCAAGGCGTTGTTCTCCTCAGTCTCGGCATCAGCCTCGTCGTTCACCGGGCTACCGACAGGCGCTGGAGAAGGAGGAAAAGTTAAATTAATTTTGCACATTTAAACAAATGTTTTTTTTTAAAAAAAAAAACGAATAAAAACATAGAGATTTGTTGAACTTACTTGTCTCTTTGAGGGCAGCCTCCTTCTCCTCCTTGTCCTCGTCGTCGACAGCGGCCTCCTTCTTGACCTCAGTCTCCTCCGAGCCTTCCTCCTTCACCTTGGCCTTCTCGTCCTTGTCCGCATCTTCGTCTTCCTCGCCCTTCTCCTTCTTGACGTCGTCGTTGAGCTCGAGTGTTTCTTGGTAAAACTGGAAATGGCAATTAAGTTAGTCCTTTGAAAATCACTTTTCGAAAGCACCATGAATAACATAAAAATTGTCAGGGCGAACTCACCTTGAAGACGGGCTTGGCCTCGACGGGCTTGGCGTCGGCCACCGGCTTGGTGTCGACGGCGGCCTTGTCCACGGCGGGCTTGACGTCGGCGGGCTTGACGTCGGCGGCGCGCTGCGGCGAGGACGCCGGCGAGCTGCTCTCGTTGCCCTCGCTCTGCGACGCGTTGGACGCGGTGGAGGCGTTCAGCCCCGTGGGGCTGGTGGGCTCGTCCTTGCTGCCGCTGATGCGCCGCTTCCTCTTCCGCGGCTCCCTCTTCACGTTGGCGGCGTTGAGCGCGTCCATGAAGAAGTCGCTGTCCTGGAGGCCGGTGGCTGTGGACAGAGATACGCAACACGTCAGTCAATCGATCAGGTTTCAGCAGGGCTTTTCAACAGTTCGCCAGCACACGTCAATCAAAAGGGAGGGGGGAGGGGGGGATAAGAGATGCAGACAGCGCGTTCACTAAGTGCAGGGCCTGGAACAGAAAAAGAGTACGCAAATTAAAATAATATGTACGTATGTTGACGGTGTACTGAGGGAAGGCCGCGTACGCCCCCACGCCGCTGAGGGCGGGCGTGCCCTGAACTGTGGTCGTTCCCCCGGCACCCGGAGGGCACCCGAGCCGCGGGCCTTGGACGTGCCTGACGCGGTTCGCGTAGGAGACGCGGAGCGAAGGCGCGGACGGCAGCGCCGTGGCCTCCGCCACAAAACAGCCTCGCTCCAGGCTCAGATTTCTCAACTTCATCGACGATTGCGATGATTTGTCAAAAACCAATGGCTCAACAAATTGGTGATGATTGTCAAATAGTTAAAAACAATGCCTACATAGGTGCACAAAAACAATGGTAAATGAGAAGAAACTCACGGACGTGTTAAAATCATTTGGTAACATGTATAATGGATTTCCGAAAGTTTGCATGAATGTAATTAAAATAAGCGAAACTCGAGCAATTAAACCTGAGAAATTGACTGAGTAGCCAGCCAACCACAGTGTGTGATAAGGATACTCGTTTCAACGCCGACAAGTACGTCGGTACCCACAAAAAAAAAATTAAAACATAAAATACCGAGGTGTGTTCCCACGAACACAATGTGTGTAAGGGAGGATTGTGCCTGGTACTTTATTCAAGACGTTCTCCCCGAATGCGTGCGCCAGCAGGAGTGCGTGAGAAGGTGATACGTGTCGCCGGCAAGGAGTGGTGGAGACGTCCGGACAGCATCCAAATCAACAGCATCGGCTTTCTGCCAGGGCCTCGCTGTGCAGCACGTCGGTAGGGCCAGGCCATCAACTGCAGGACCACTCTTCTCCGCGACCGTCTTCAAGGCCCACCCGTCAGCCCCGAAGGTACCCACCCCACCCGGTTAAGTAGCAGGAATGAGAGACTCGGTTTAAAGAACAGTTTTGTGATTCCATCACCTGATCCACACTAAGACCCATGTCGAAAAATCCCCCCCTGGACGGCAACGGTGTAGTGAAAGGAGGCTGGGCTGCCTGGGGGCCTCCGTGGGCACGGCGAGGGGTGCTGTCGGCCGGCCGCTGCAGCAGTGGCGCCCTCCACCCACCAGGCCGGCCAGGGCGGGGTGGTGCTAGTCGTGGCCGCGCTGCCCGCGACGTGCTTGAGCGGTACTCGCGCTTCCCCTGCCGCGACAGGCATCGCCCGTTCCCCGGCTCAGGTGACGTCACCGCGGAAACGGCGGGGCTTGTGCTCCGCCAGGAGTGCCCGCCCGCGCCTAGCGCGCCGACCTGCCGTGCTCGGCTAGAGCGGCGGCCAACGGGGGCGGCACACTGGGCGGTATCGCGGTACCCGCCCCGCACCGCGTGCCAAGGGTCCAATTGCCGGGATGACACCATATTTATTTCATATCTGTTGCAGCTTTCCTTTGCCTTCCGGCTTTTCCATTGTACAGCAGCGCCGCTGGCAGCAGCAAGTCCATTGCCATCCGAACCACAAACGCAAAACCAAGTGCGCAGGGTGTACAATGGGAGGCAAATAACACTCGTATTAACGTTCAATTGTTTATTGTAAAGCGACGACTTACAAAGCAGAGAGCCACGTCCACGGCTGAGAGTACCGCGGGGTGTAAAGAATTTCAAGTCATCGCTTTACTAAATGGGGGAAGTCCAGTCAACTTCGTGGAGAAATTTATTCTTTATTTTCAAAGAATCACTTCCGGTAACAAATAACAGCAACGTGGACGTAGCTTTACATTTCCTTCAATAACAGCTTACACACCCTCCTATCCCGAACTAGCGCTACCCCCCCCCCCCCCATACAAACAATACTGGTGGCCGACAGCAAATAAATGCGTCTCGCCTCATCTGCGCCGCCCCTCCCCCACCCTTTGCTTTGCAGACCGGCTTTCAAGGCCTGACGCTGACAGCCCCCCCCCTCCTTTTTCTCTCACAAACAGCTGTGGATTGTGCTAGGGCAGCTTTTGTCACAGCGCACTGGCGCGAAATATATGGTGTGTCATGTTAGCAATTATTTCATATTTTGAGAAATTAATTATCATGGAGAATTGTGAGCCATGATACTTTACTGAAGCTGGTCCACAGCAGTCAGACTTCTTTGGTAATGGGTTTTGAGACCATGGTACTGACAGACCCCACTCTTTTCCCTGAATATAAGCCACATGTCTTTTAACAGGCTTGATATATCCGAGACTAGTTATTTTTCATTGTTCATGTTAGGACTTTTGGTCTTGTTTCATTTTACTTTCGTTTTAATTTAATTGTACTTACCACTCATACATGTTCAACTTCCTAAGCAGCTGATGCGAGTGTTATGGGAAAATTGCATTACCCTGGTTGAAATATTTCCTAGTGCAAATTATCGATAATTTTTAAAAACATTATAAAATGATTTGAATTTATGTGTAAGCTTCACCTTTCAGGTGAAAATGGGAATTGTGTTTCAAGAAACATAGGAAAAATGCAGCTTCATGAGTGTTGCATTTTCAATGGTTTTCTACATTCAAAATCACTGGCATTTTAGAAGTGAGGAGGGAGAGTCATGTTTGTTTCTGGGATTTGTGTGTCCAGGACTTAGGAGCAGGCTTACTTACCTTGAACAGCACAGGAGACAAGTTGATTCTTCAGACGGGTGTCTTGCAGGTGAATGAGCAAAAAGGCACAGAAAGACCATGGAAAGGGCATTCAATATTGCACTATTCATGATACTTTGTGTGGACCTTACAGAGCAACATTCACATGGCACAAAGAAGTCTCCTGGACATTTGAAGATCACTCTCCTGGAGGCTGCTACTTAAAAAGAGTCACATGATTAATCATGAATTGCACAAAACAATACATTTTAGGAAAAACAATTGAGGGGGAGGGAAGGGGGAGAACGTGTGCTGGCAAACCTGAAGAAAAAAAGCATAACAATTAAAGATGAAAGAGACTTCAAAGAGATAATCTAGAAAACAATTTTAAAGTTATCAAAGTTACAACAAAAACAGAAGTTTCAATCTATGATAAGGAATAGCCCTTCTAGAAAATGATTGCATGAAAGAAATATGAAAAGAAACCCCAGCAACAAAACTTATTTCCCATAATCTTAAAAATTTTTGACTCGAGATACTCACATTTTGGTTTGGCAGGGATGAGTTTGATGGCTCCAGGGCGCTCAGGTGGACCAGCCATGTTCAAAACAGGCTTGGTGCGCCTCTCTGGTAGAACAGGCACATTCAGGAGGGGGTTGGATTCCTTGGCTCCAGGCAAAGGTACACCTGCACCCGTGGCAGGTTTCTTGATGTCCTTCCGGGATGGAGGTGGCTTCACGACATCTTCTAATCCGGTGGAACGGAACTTGGTGGGAGGAGTCTTGACAGTTTTGGGACGAGGTTCACCAGACTGTTTCCTGTTCTCGATAGATATAGAGATCTTCTTAGTGTCTGGCAACACAGGAGGATGTACCTTTTCACCAGACTTAGATGAGCTGTCAGTTTTCTTAGGAATCTTCCCTAATTTGCTGACAGAAGAAGGCTGCATGACTTTAGCCAGAGTAGCCTTATCTTTTTCAGCTTGAGTTTCAGCCTTTTCTTTTTCTTTTAACTTCTTCTCTTTCTCTTTCAGTTTAGCCCTTTCTCTTTCTTTATCCTTTGTTGATGACGACGATGATGAAGATGATGATGGTTTTGATTTTTCCTTAATCTTATCTCTACTTTTGTCTTTCAATTTGTCTGAATGATGATGTTTGCTCTTAGAATCACTATGGCGAGAGTCGCTCTTGTGGGAATCTCTCGTTGAGTCCTTGCTGCTTCTTCTCTCTGATGACGAACCAGATGATGACTTCTTATCTGTCTTATCATGTCTGTGAGAAGATTTGTCAGATTTTTCCTTTTCTCTTTTTTTGTCTCTTGAAAGTTCTCTTGCTTTTCTTTTGGCAGGAGATGATTCCTCATCATCATCTTCACTCATTTTCCGCTTGGTTGGAGATTTAACAATAACTTTCTTGCCATCTTTCAAAACACTTAACTTGAGAACAAGTTTTTCTTGAGGTGGTTCACCATTGGTAACAACAGCACTGTCAGTATCCATTACCTCAGTCTCTTCACTCACAGGAACAGGGATCACTTCACTAATAACAGCAGGTTCAATAACACTTTCAAAGTTCATTTCCTGCAGAGAATCGTTTCTAACTTCATTCACATTCACTAAATCACCTGGAAATTCAGTATGAATTTCACCTAAATCAGAACCATTACCGATTATTGTACTATTACAGTTATCAGTTCTATATTCACAAAGATTCGCACTAGCAGGCAATAAATCGTCTTTAGAAATTGTGTCAAAAGTGATATCAGTCGGATCACAATAAAGATCATTGGCGATATCCAGTTGCATGTTGGAATCGGTGGGGAAATGAAAATTAAAATGTCCATCATCTTCCCGACTCTCCTCCAACATCTGAAGCTGCGATGCTTGGGGCAACATCTCTCCTTCCAGAGAGTGATGTGGCTCCAGGGCAAGATGAGATGTGTCAATCGTAGGATGATGTAGCACTGGGGCCGGAGATTTTACTATCTGCAGCCACTGTGCAACCAGGCGAGTGGCCAACAACTGAACATCTAAAAATGCGGGAAAGAAAAAAAAATTAATCGACTTTGTTAACAGAGGGCTAAATAATTGTTGAGTCGTGCAAATTACCTCTGTCTGTTGTATCTTTTGAGAGCCCTTTAACCAACTTTGGACAGTTGTTAAGTTTTAATCTCTCCACATCCACAGGACACATCAGAAGCAATTCAAGCAATTCTTTCATTAAAGGCCAATTTCTTGCTTCAATGGCATCAGCTAGCCAGGAGTTAGTCAGAGCCCAGCCACCCTCACTCATAAACCTAGGAAACACAAAGAACAAAAAGTTAACTCCTGCATATTTCAAGTGCAGCACTAAGTTCCAGTAAATTGATTTAAAAAAAAAAAGAAAAACATTAATCAGTTTGTTTTACTCACATGCCAATGAGTTCGGTCTTTGTGTTTTTTAAAATAAGCACGTAGATGCACTTGCTCACGAGCTTCTTGGAGAACTTGGTCATCAAACTGCAACAGAATTAGAAGGGAAAGAAGAATATTAGGAAGGAGCTGCGTTGTGGATGCTGGTGCTAAAACAGGAAAAGGAGGTATGCACATTTGGCAACAAACACACACAGATAATGTTAAAAAGAGAATAACACTAATGAACAGCTGACAAGAAATGTCCATAAGATGCCCAGAGCCTTGCAAGTCCTGTCCAGTGTATCAGCTCCTAAGCATGGTTGGACGGTTAAAAATCCGAGTCAAAATGGATTATGACTCACAATGGGGGGGGGGGCAGAAACGCAAGGAGTATAGCCGCGCGGCAAGCGCGCTGCCCACGCAAAGTCTCTCGGCGCGAGGGGTATAGCCAAAGCGGGCGAATGACGCAATGTGGTGCAACCAACGGGCAACGAACAAATTTCGTCAACCCTAAACTGGAGATGGATAGTGGCTTCTCCTTGGGGTAGGTGGACACTACCTAGCAAAGGACCCGCCATCCAAACAGACGCAGACAACGCATCCTAGCTCCGGTTCAAGGCGAGGACAGGGACGCGACCAATTCAAAACGGATCAAACTTCTTTACTTCTATCCGGGTCCGGGGAACTCCTAGGTCCTGATAAACGTAAACCAGACCTGGGCAAAGCACTCACTTCTAAACGCAACTGACTTGGGGACCAGCGCGACCGCGTGAATTGGATTCAACTCGCGAGCGCAGTGGGGACAGCGAGGCAGAGCGAGGCTCACGGCGTCAATGTCGCTCAAAGACTGGCAGCGGAGCAGCGCCAGCAGCACAGCGTCGTCGCGACCGCTGCGCCACCGCGGGGCCTCGCGAGGGGCCTGCAGGCCGAATCCGCGCTGTCTCTCTCGCACTCGCAGGGCGATGCCTTTCGGTGCGAGCGAGACTGCAACGGAGGCCGCCCCGCCAGCCCCGCCCGCGCGGCGAGGTCACCCCCACCCTGCCCCGCCACTCTGCCTCAACTGCGCCCGGGGCCCCGGGGCTCACGTCCACGAAACGAGGCCTGCAAGGCCGGACAAGGAAAACACGCCGACAGAAGCGTTTTCTTTTCGCTCGCATGCCTCGCCGACGAATCGCGTCGTGCTCGTTCTCAAAACCACGTAACGTGCGAGCGGGCCGTCTGAACCTCGAGGCCCGACTGACCTAGCCTTCGCGTCGCTTCGCGTACTAGTCAAACATAGACACCCCCTGCCTTTCCCTCATCACGTGGCTCGTGGACGACCCCAGAACGCTCCATGCGCCACATCCCCATCCGGCAGGCCTTGCCGTTTCGCAGAAGGGGTGCGTCATGGGGTTTCCCTTTCCCTCCCGCGGCACGGACTACGGACCCACCAGGCCAACACCAGGCCCGATAGGGTCCACCGCAGCGACTAGCATGCGGACTTGGGCTCATTTGGCATGCGTCCGTCATCCGGCTGTGGGATGTGCCGGCGCCTTGGTCGCCGGGTTGTTCGCCCCGAAGATAAGGGGAGCGCCCCGCCCCGCCGCGCCCCGCCAGAGGGAAGCCCATCGCCCCCGCACCGCGCGGCGTGGCGTAGCGTGGCGCAGCGGCGACAGACTCCCCCGAGCAGCGGGGGGCGGCGGGGTGTGAATGTGGCTGTCTAGGCCCAACGATTCGTGTTCGTTTGGGACCAGCACGCTGACTGCGTACTGTGTGCTCGCGAGACTTCGCGGTCGGCGACGGCAGCGCCGCGGAGGGAGTCCTTATCAGGCTGTTCGTTCGTCGTTCGCCGCGGCGAGGCGGCCGGGCGGCGCGGTGGGCGGATGGAAGGCGGCGGCACAGCGAACCGACTGTCAGCAACAATCCCACTGCAAACGTTGCAAAAAGGCTCGCCGGCCGGCCAGAGGCCAGGCGGAGGGCAATCGAATCGTGTGCGCTTTTGGTTGCCATGACAGTCCACCGGCATCGAACCATCGAGTTGAGGAACACAAATCACACAAGCACACACTACAGTGGACCCACTCGGTCCTCCCGCAGAAGCATATTTATGTTTATTAAATTTCTTGATTCGCTTTTGTGGGGAGTGGGATGATGGATGATAGTGCTGCTCAGATCACGCTACAGGTCATCAATGCCAGACTTGCCTGAAAAAGAAGCGGATGAAAAGACACCACTGCAACTCAACAGATATAGGCTGTTTGGCTGAACCACATGGAATTTCTAGAGCAATGGCAAAAGTGACTCCCCCATGACTAAGTGCATTGTACCATAGAGGAAATTTTTATATGTCGATAAATTAGGACTAAGACAATAAAATTACCTAGAGTGCAGCGCACAGATGTGTGTGGACCCTCTAGTACCCAGTTATGAAATAAATACTACTAACTGCATGAGACAACAATAAAAACAGTAGCTTACCTTGCCAATCTGCCAACTTGGTCTCTACTCAGGATTCCTCCATTTGGTCCGAGCAACACACTCAGACATCTGAGTAGCTGCAGGGGATCAATTCGTGGCTGAAACAGTAGTTTAAAAAAAACAAAGTTAAATTAATGAACAATCTGAAACAACATGTAGAAATTAAGAACAAATAACAATAAAGCCAGTATTTTTTTTTTTAAATCTAGTCTGGTGATTAAATGCAAGAACTGAGTGTGTCCATATGTTCACTAAACAAAATCTCACTTAAAATAGGACGAGAGAAATAGGGAGGGGAGGGGGGGAGCCTTTCTATCGGCCGCGCTGCGTCGACGTTTGTGGAACGACGAACGTCGTCTTGGGGGAAGGGGGAGGGGGAGGAAGGGGGCGCCTCGGCGCCTCAACAATAGAGGGCCAAAACAAATAAGGGCACTCCACGCTTTCATTATAGAGGGGCAACAAAGCCCCCAAAAAGGGAGCTATACTCGCTACGATCAAAAATTTAAAAAACCACGTAACAGTTCACTCCCCCGAGAAACAAAAAAAAAGTGACCTAAATAAATTTACAAACATATGGAGCGTCTTCAGATGTAGAAATAGCTGCAAAGCGCAATGAGTGTAGGACTTCTTTGAACGCAAAATAAAGAGGACTTCCAGTCCAGGCTAGCTGTAAAGCGGGAACTGCGTGTGAAAACGGCCGCACCCATACGACAGCGACTTATCAAGGTCATTAGGGGTAGACGAACGCATGAGTTGTGCAATTCCTATTTCAGATACTCACCATTTTTAAAGTTCGGAGGAAATATCAGGCTGCACAAGAAACGAGACGGTTACCGGCGTTCATGGCAAAACCGCCCTGGTCGAGGGGGGTTCCTTGTGAAAATCATGCGTGACTGGCCAATATGGCTACTGCAGATCCTCCATCGACTTCGTCAGGAACCCGTCGTATACGTCGAATCGCGTTTCACACTTGGTTTTGCTGTACTTCGACCCGATTGACTTAATTTTGAGTACTTCTAGTGTTTCAACTCGACTGGCTTTCTTACTGGATTCACCAGATTACGGCTCGATTGTCTTTGGTCCTTTATGCGCCTAGGCCAAGCAACGATGTTCACGATATGACTTTTCACACTTTTAAAGTGTGGTTTCCGCTTTTAATGATAGTATTTACGTTTAGTTTTATACTGAATATAACAAGGCAACAGTAAGGCAGTAATACACGATTAAATATCGATAGAATTATAAGAAACAGCTCAAGATCGACATGTATCTTAGCTCTGAGCTAGCGACAGCTGTCCGCGTTTTCTCCTTTCTGAAGCAAGCAAAAGGCAAAACGTGCAGCTTTCGTGTTCGCCCTCAACTGCGCATGCGCCGATCGACTCAACAGCAGACGACATGGTGGTGCCAGCACCGTTCTGGAAATTTCGAGAGTTTCAAGATAACTGACCCTCAACTGTGGGTCAGATAATAACGGGCACTGAGTATCTTTAGCCATAACAATTGTCTTGACGAGTGGAAATCAAGATGAAAGAAAATGAAATGGCAAACGAACGCAGACTTAAGTGCCGTAGGTTGTCTGCCGTGAGAAGAGTGTGCTCAGAAATGAGGCCTCCCATCGTCATCCGGATCCGGATCATCGCAGAAAGTTGTCTAGATTTCTCTGGATTCTGTGGTCTTATAACTCATTGAAAGAAAGAATCAGGTAGCGCGCTGGCAAAGTATTCTGACCGCCTCAAGCTTTCGCGGCTTTTGTAAAGAAAGCACTGAATTCTTTCTTCTCCTCTGCCTTAGGAATCTCTGCCTGAAAGCTGCCGCATCGTCTGCACAGTCCTTTGTTTTTTTTTTGTTGCAGACGACATTCCGACTTTCGCGAAAAACGAGGAACGAAAATGCCTTCCGAAATTACGACTGGAAAAACAGTGATTATTTTAGCTGCTGTTGTGGGATGTTTTGCAATACTATGGCCTCGTCTGTTTCACCCCATGCTCCAGTCTGCGTTGTACGAAACAACCACCCTAGACAAAACTGCAGGTAAGGCCAGAGCTCGGTGTATTCATAGCATAGCCGTTTTGCATCCTGGTCTTCAATGTCAGTCATGTCATCTCTGTCTTTCTTGAGCCTGCTTTTTGTTACCAGGATCTCTATTTTCTCATGTCACGTCATAAAAAAAATAGTACACATATTAACTTTTTACTTTTAGTTCCCTTATTCAATTAGTGGATGTACGTTCAGAACATTTATTCTGCACTGATAATTGAAAATCATTTCTTATCGTATTATAATTTGATTTTACTTACATTATTGATTTTCACTCACTTGTGATGGTAACTATGACATAACGACAACTTTGTTGTTGTGCTCTTTTCTGTAGTTGCATAAAAGAATAAAAGTACATTAATTTTTTTTAACACAATGGAACAAGCATTGTTTTTTAAAATAAGATCACAGACTTCTTTATTGGTCTTGATCTATTATCGCCAGCCATTTTTACGCATCCAATCCATCCCTCTCCCCTTGTTGTTTCTTTCATGGAGGCTGCTGGAGCAAGTTAAATGGTGTGCAGTACATACAACCCTCCATAATCTATTGTTTCAGGATGCTGTGATGTTATTTCTGATATGGATGTCAATGCCATCAAAATCTTGACAGAAATGTGTGGTCGAATCATCACAAAGCATGATGAGCTGGATCCAAAGTTTTTGTCTGATTTTGAGCATGGGAAAATAAACAAAGAAGTTGTAAACACTTGTAGAAGAGAAGTTTTAAACACGTGTGGGGTTGACATCACCTCCTTCTTAGCTGTACAAGTTGGCCTTGGTCATACTTATCGTCAGATAATGGACAATATCAAAACCTTCAACAACTCTGTTTGCTTGAAACAAAACTTTGGAATTGAAAGAAGTCTTCTCGGAGCTGCTAGGCACTGGTCCCAAATTCCAACGAGTAAGGTTTACTTTCAAGTAAATGTTGATTTTACTAACAACGCAACCTTTGTGTTTAATTTTACTAAGCTGGGATTCCCCTCAATCAGTTTCCCCCTTCATCAGTTTACATTTGCTTATGTGTTAGATAGTCAAAGTTGTCATTAACAAACAGGTTTTGAAGCATGTGATACCCTTTGTCTTGAATGTTGATCTTTATGTTTTGTACATGTGTGCTTGAATGGATGTGTGTAAACTTTCATTAACACCGCCGTGGAGTGTCATAATTGTGTGACTCAACTTATTGGAAGACGCATCCAGTATACAATTTAACATGGTTTTAATGTTTGCAGAAAATTTGAGGCAAGAACGCCCTCCTCACATGCGTCCAGACTTAGTACATGCAGCTCTGAGGGAAAGAGGGCGAGCCATACCACAGTCCAATGTTGTTCCAAGAATTCTTGAAGGAAGGGTGAGTATTAGCTTAAGCATGAGCAGTACCTTGTATCACTTTTTCCCAAAGAAAATCTCAGGGTTGAATCAAAGTCCAAAGTTGTTCTGTTTGAGAGAACTACTATTTGTGCTTAATATGTGCCTTTAGTCAATCCTCCATCTGCTAGGTAAAAAACGATGATTTCACTGAGCATAAAAGCAGGATCTATAGATGCCAATGAGCCAGGGCTCTGATGCTATTTTCATGTCTTGAGTTAGGCTATAATGAGGCTGGCAGTGCTCCAACTGAGGCCCAGCTCTAAACTGTACAGTATGTGGGCATGGTGTGGGACTATGCAAACATACAGAGCTCATGGCCATTAAAAACACTTAAAATAACCTAAATACAATTAACTTTTTTCAATTTTCAATTTTAAAAAATGCTTTTATTTTTTCCCCCTTGTTTTACTTGTCAGAAATATCTTTTTATGGAGTTATCAAAGTATTTTATGAAGATGCTTGGATTTGTTTCCAGCCAGGACCTATCCCTGGAATGCGACCTCCCATGGGAGGAGCTGGTCATGTGGTTCCTGCACCAAAGGCAACTCAAGGAGCTCTTGGCATTCTCATGCCTTTGTACACTGTTGGCATTGTAATGATATTTGTGTACACAATGATGAAAGTAAGTGTACTTGACTTTATCATTATAAGTATATAAATTATTTCAAACAAACTAATATATATCATTACCCTTTTTTACTCAGTTGTTAATGAGAAGGAATAATGATGTGGAAAGTGTCAACAATTTCCAATCAGACCCCAACTTCCGACACTACGTGTTTGGAGACCACCATGGAGAACAGAATGGAACTAACAAACACCACTATGACCAACATACTAAGCTAGGTGAGTTAGTTTTGAAAAAGTTCGTAGAATGTGACCAACTTACATGTATGCACTGTCTTCATGATGGCTTTCCTTATTTTTGTGCTGACGATATATCAGACTGGAAAGAAAGGGATACAAGTGAGTATTGGACTCTCCTTGCCAGAGGAGTCTATGATGTGTTTTGATAATTTATCTGTCTAATATTTCAGAAATGATCTAAGACAGCATACATCATGATGGTGCTAATTTGTTTGTTATTCTCATTGTATGTTTCACTTAACTTTAACTTGTGGAAAAATTGTTTTTTGTTGGAGCTTTATGTCACAGAATCAGTTCTATTTTCAGAAGTTGAATTCTTATACTGTTCACTTTCCCTTTTCTTTAATTGTTGTGTTCGTTTGTGGAACTGAAGGATTTAATTATGTTAATTGCTAGGTCTAGGTTGTTTTACATATTGCATTTACTGAAAGAAGTGTTCATCTAGACCCAATAATTTGCAAGATAAAACTTTTCAGGAGAGATTGAAATGCTTATGCTTCGAAGAAGACTTCAAGAAACTGAGGCTGCCATGGAGCGCATTGTTAAAAAAGTCGGCATGGTCCCCTTCAAATCTGAATTTACTGCACAGGTCGGACCTAGATCCAGCTCCGACTCTGACATTTCTAAACTGTTTCTTTTTTTTTTCCTGTTTTGTTTGATCTTATTTTTTACTCCTTTAATTCGGTTGCTAGTTTCATGGTTGTGAGCAAAGCTTCTTTGCATGATTCCAGTGCAGTAAGCCGAATGTGCACTTGCCAGACATCGTAGATTATGGTCCCATTTTTTTCATTAAGCAATCAGAAAAATTAAAAAAAATAAAAATAAAGAAACAGAGTATCTATTCCATTTTCAGACATAGAGCACAAGAGAAATGATTGTTGGTTTTTAATGTGTGTAGCTTTCTATAAAGATTACTGTTGGGTTGTTTATTTTAAATAGTTTGTGCCAAAGCCTTCCATTGGTAACTCTACTTCCTCTGCCTCCATGTTATTCTACATTGCCGCCCGTTGGGTTTAATTTTATGGGTAATTTTTGTGTACCAACAACAGTCTTTTCTCTGTGCTGCTTAGTTGAAACAGCAATCTCGGGGTTGTTAGAAGAAGTGGACCGTCAAAGGGACATTGTTGCCAAGCGGGCTGAACAACCAAGCGGAAAGGTACCGTGGTGTGCCACGCTACGTTTTGCTTACAGTTTACTCTGTTTTGTCATTGTTTTCCTTTTTGCATGCTGCAAAGTCTGGGAGTTCTAAAAGAGTGCATAAAATCTTGTTTCATTATTGACTCAGGTAGACAGTTCAGTCATCATTTGTGGAATTTAAATTTAATGTCTGCTGGTGAACCATGAAACACTGATGAGATATATCATCCAAAATGGGGGAAAAAATCTGCCATGTCAATTGGGACAAAGCTTTGTGTGTAGTTCTAGTTTTCCTTTCCCTCTGTTCAATCTATTCAATTTTTATTCTTTTAGCTGTTAGACAAATAAAATCAAGCTAGAAATCTCTTGTTTTCCCCACAATGCACTCTATTTGATCAACTGATTTCAATGCTCTCTAATCATGTAACTTGTGAAGTAGCTGGCTTTCTTATGAATGCTTGAAATTCATTTTGTGATTATTTAATTTTTACTGTGTATCTCTAATCCTATTGTGAGTAAAGAGAAATGTGCCCTTATCTATCATACCTAGTGAGAAACAAAGTGTCATGTACCAAAGTTTTCTTCAAATCTCAAGGCATAGAGCACTGAGTTGTAGGAAATCTGAAGTACTTAGCTAGTTGAAGAGCTGCTGTAATGCCTTTTTATCCCTCATGAAGATCAAGTGTGCTTTATACCATGCAACTAGCCCGATAAATGTGTGCCCTTGGTTTGATTTCTTCGCAGAGCATGGCTTAGCTGAATGATCTTCTTAGCTGCTTTCTAACTTAAATTAGGTACATCTCCCCTTTACTCCAGAGAAAGAAAAAGAAAACCTATCATTCATCTTAGGCATTTTGTATTGACTGTATTTATGGGTTGTTTTACTTGTTTGCAGGGTGAATATCTTTTTTTCCCTCACTAAATGCAGATTTTTCTTTCATTCTACAATCCAATCTATTGTTTTCATAATATTTTGTCTAGAGAATGTTAATGAGTAGAGGAAGACGTTATATTAGGATTCTATTGACACAGGAATGTTTATTTTTGGAAGCTATATTATATCCAGCATGAGGCCTTAACCCTAGACCATTTAAATTTGTTGTGCTGTGCTAGTATTAAAGCGCCAATTTTAATAAATCTTTTCTGTTTTGCTTTAAGTTAATGTAGCTTTTTATTTTATTTTAACTTTTTAAAGTCATAATATGTTATTCAGTTAGATGAATTCCTTTATGTGAGATTTGACTTACTATCTTTGAGTTAATTAATTTATGGTACTAACTCTTTTTTCTAGGGAGAAAATGGAATTCAAGCAGAGCCGAAAAGGGAGGCTGATGAGTCAGCAAGTGTCAAAGTATGCAATCTTATTTTGATTTCAAATGGGTTCACATATGAATCCTTTTTCTTTTTGTAGTATGCTTAATGTTTTCCCCAAGCATTATTGCCCAGTTTTTAAATTTTTTAATAAATTTTTTTAGGTGGTTAATATGGAAACTACTGCTAGCTGTGAAGGAGGCAAACCATGGACTGGTAGTCGTCCTTCTACACCATCTCGAAGCAGACCGCCCAGCCGCCCCCCAACTCCTCTTGAACGAGAGGCAGCCACAATTCCTCCACCACAAGATGCTCAAGAAATCTTTTTGGAAGGGGCTCTTCCTTCTCAAGCACAGCTCCTTGTTGCTGAGTCAGAAACAGAGACCCACAAGGTAATCCTAATTTATATCCATATTGTGTTGCGCATAGGCATTCATGGTAGCTCAGTAAATTCCTTCACTTGTTACTTCATTTTTATTTTCAAATTGGAACCAAAGAATATTTGTTTGACAGTTATGAAATGAAAATGTTCAAATATACTTGCAAATTGGATCTCATGATCTTTAAGGATATGTTTATGCGTAACATTCTGTTTTGACCTCGTCATTTCAAAATCAAACCATCACAATTTCCTGCTTTTTGTGGTGATATGAAATGATTGATCATGATAACATGAGTTCTGTGAGTTTCAAGTAACAAGTTATAACACTGCTTTGACATGAGCCTTTTAACAGAGCAATGCCAATTTAAAATTCCAATTGATATTCCAAAATAGAGAGAAAAAGAATCCATTAAAAGCTCTGCCGATGTAACTCATCTTTGGAGGCATAGGCTGCATTTAGAATTTTTAATCCTCTTAGTCTGCCGTGCAACTAGTAGCTAATAGTAAGTCCCCTGGAATGATTACAACAAACAGGCAGCACCAGGCGAAGTCGAACTGGAAAACAGCAACGATCCTCCAGTTATTCTCAGTGGCAAGATGACATTATCGCTGATTCCTGATCGTTTGGCTCATGGTTCCGATGATGAAGGTCACACAGGGCGAGACAGTGGGCAAGAAAGTGAGCAAGAAGATGTTCATGACTCCAATAGCATGGAGCCCAAGGGTGAGTATGACAAGGCTACAAAAGTGTCAAGAAAAATTGGATAGCAGCATTTTATTTTGATGCATTCTTGAAAAATTAAGTTGTTTGCCTATGTAATCGAAACAATTTTTATTGGCCTTTTTGTCCAGTTCTTAACTGAAAGCTATTCCGAAATTTTCTTTGTTCCTTACTTAAGTCTACACCATGGGGACAGTACCAACATGACATTTGCGTGTAAACAGACAAAACTAGGAATGATAAAAATGCAGTTTTTCTCTGAAATATGTGGTCTTTGAATGAACATTAATTGTATAAGAAAATATGGTACTTCAACACCACATTCTTATTACATTTATGTAACCTCGATTGTAACCATAGCATGGCTATAACTTTAGTTGAAATGATACAGTCATGAGGCTTCCCATTTTATCACTGGCTCCTGAATTCTCATTCAGATAGATGACTAACATATTATTTAAAGCCTGCTAGCTCTTGCTACAAACTGTGTTGCTTTTATGTTCATCCTTTGGTGTTTAACTTGAGATGTCTTCTCAGTTTCTTTTTTCCATTAAGGTTTATGCATGCACGAAACTAACTAAAAATTGCCATCATTTATGAGAAATATACGTGTGAAGTGCCATATTTACTTACCTTTGAATTTGTTTGTGAGCATTTTTAATATTTGGTAAAAATATGAACCCTCTTTGAGTTTAAGCACTTGGGAAAGTTTTTTTGTTTACACTGTTTCGGTTATTCAGCTTGATGTTCATTTTTGTTGAATTTCCTTCTACTGTCATTGTTAAATGAACATAAAGTCTTGGTAACACTCAATAAGCTTAATTTGTGATAGAAATAACACAAATACTCCAATGTCAGAAGAGAATATACTGCAGAAGAGAGATAGGGAGATATTGGGGCAATGGGCAGTCTTGAATGTGCCTAATTGTTTGTTTGCTGTTGTTTTTTTATGCTTTTTTTCTGCTTATTGCTACACTGGTATGTTTGTGATGTATATGACTGTACCATATGCCCGCTTCTTTCTCCTTTTGGATGTGGTATTGATTTTCTACGACAGAAAGTGACTTTACTAACATTTAATTCGCTGGATTCTAGCATGCTAACTAACATACTTGTGCCCTTTCTGCATTTTACAGCTGACCAGCATGCGACTTCTACTAACTCCATCCAAGCAGAACTCACTGATCAATCAGAACTATCGGATCAATATGAAGACTCAGAAACATTTGATCATTTTGATTATGCACTTAACATTAATTTGAATGTCGTTGGACCAGTTGATGATTCAAAGCATAAAGACCATGCAAACACACTCAAACAAAAAGTTGCATCCCATTCTAAAAGGTCATCAAAAAAACGCAACAAATCATCTGTCACCAAAAATGGTAGCTAGTCTTTCTTTCTCGTTATTAATTCAATTCTAGCCTATTCTTAGTTTAAAGCTCTTTTATTATGGTTCTTCTTAACTTAGTAAGTGATCTTAATTTTTATTTTTGAGGTTTGAATTAAACACTCTTGTTTGACTTTGGGGTAAATTTAAATCGGACCTGTAGTATTTTTTTTTTTTCATTATATCGCTTTGACCAACCAAAAATTGTAAGCACAAAGAGCTCAAAAGCAAGTTATTTTATTTTATTTTATCTTAATTTTGAGGAGTTCTGTGTTTCATGTTGCAGGTGGGAGAAGATGAGGTGAAGAATCCAGTTGAAGTTGAGAAACTAGCGGCCTCTGTCCAGGATACAAGCACGACTGTTCCTGTTACTGAAGATGCCAACACGCCGCCAGTGAGTCCAGTTGAGAGTGACCACAAGAACAAAATTACTTTTGATTACTCTGTCAAAGAAGAAGATGTTTTGGGAAAAGAAATGGAGGAAACATACAATTCTGGAAATGTTGAAGACAGTGTCGCAGGAGAAGGAGAAGAAGAAGAAGTGGAAGACGAAGAGGAAGAAGCATATGAAGATGATGATGAAGAAGTTGAGGTGCAGCAGAGAGATGGAGATCGTGTCACCTTTAAAATAGATGATTCTGAAAGTGTGAAGAGAATTGAAAGGCTGAGCTCTTTGGATCAAGAGTACCTGCAGAATGAAATTGACAGTATAATTGAAGAAGCCATGGAATATGTTCAACATGAGCTTGAAGCTAAGCAATACATTTCAGAAGAAGGTGACATTGATCAAGAAGGTGATTATTTAGAGGAAGAAGAATTGGAAGAGCAGGAGGAAGAAGATGAAGATGATGAAGAGAATGACATTGAAAGTGATATTCGTGAAGCTATTAAGGAAAGTGAGAAAATGCGTAAATCAGTCCACCAGAAAGTTGAAGAGGTTAAATCTTCATTGATGTCAGTTACACCTCAAAATAAAGTTTCCGTGGAAAAGGAACCTACTGCACATCCTTTAAATGCCTCTAACACAGCTGCGGGAAAAGTGAAATTCCAAACAGAGCAATTGAAGGATGATGAGGAAGAAGAAGAGGAGGAAGAAGAAATGGAAGATGAGGAACTAGATGAAGAAGAGGTTGAAGACGAAGAACTTGAGGATGAAGAGGTAGAAGAAGAGGAAGTGGAAGACAAAGAATCCAGCAATGGAAGGTTGGAGAATTCAAGGGTAGGTGAGGAGGCAAATGGAAAACATGTCAATAATAAGAGTGCTGTGGATGAAGAGGAAGAATATGAAGAGGAAGAGATAGAAGAAGAGGAAGAGGTTGATGAGGAAGAGGAAGAGGTTGATGAGGAAGAATATGAAGAGGAAGAAGATGAAGAGCTGGAGGAAGAAAAAGCTCCTATCAATGCAGAAAATGGGAAAAAATGATTTTCTTATTCAGGGAAATTTGCTCCTTACTTCAAAATAAAATGAGGTATCAATACTAAGTTTTGACAAGTGTTCGGACTGCATTGCATTTAGAAAATGTATTTTCCTCTTTTAAGAAGTTTTTTTTATGGGGTGTTAAAATGGGAGCACATATGTCTTGACCTTTTAATTATTAGAATTTTTTCCCTGTTTTACTTTTTGTCTTACACTTGCTGTTATGAACTGTTCAAAGACCAATTGCACTAGTGTTTATACTGAATTGGTCACTTTCTGAATACCATTTTTATTGAAGACTTAGTTTAGTGATCATTATGTACAGTTCAAAATATTTTACATTACTTTTGTCTTGTGTGGGTTGCACGTCTAATTCCTCAAAACTATAAATAACAAAGAAAACAACATATAAAACCTTATTTGGTGAATTCTTAAAGTGATCCACTTGAACTAATCATCAATGTCCCTATGATATCTTTGTATGCCTAGGACCAAGTCTCAAATGATACTTTGTTTCTTCTATATCCTTTTTGTGGCAGTTTGACACACATTTTATTTAAAGTCTAGGGTTGCATGTTAAGAAAAATTAACATTGATAACTGTACTGGTTGATTGTTCTTGTTTTTATGTTTACCCCAATGTAAGAGAGTGAATTGGTGAATGTGCCAATGAAGTGGACTGATAAAGCAGTTCATGTTTTCTAGAAAGACTTAAACGGACTTTGCAACAGCCAACATATATATTTTGTACTAGGGAAGAAAACGTTCTTATAATGTGTGTGTGTCCAATTAATGTTCAGATGTTAAATTTTTAAATTCAAAACAAATAAAATGTTTTGGGTTCTGGGACACTGTCCAGCATTTGGTTTACTACGTACATTTGTCATTAGTCTCTATCATGTGTACTACAGTGAGTGTCTACAAAGTCATTAGTTTCTTTCAGTCAGTATTGTGCTAAAGAGCAGAGTTGATATTGTCTAGAAAAGGGTGTGTATTGCTATGAGCAGCTAATAGCAGTTTGATTACAAAATAAACTAGTCCACTATGAATCCTACTATTTATTAATATTCACCAAATACAACTTTCACAGGATGATAAGCCTTAATAGAAACATTCTAATAGTAATTCTCTTGTAGACGAAAATTTTTCACTTTTATCACCATCCTGTTGTGCTGTACTTCTAAATTTTTTTTTTTTTTTTTTACTGCATTTATGGATAATGGACATCATTTTTTATAGTGCTATTAACAAATATGCAAACATGTTTGATATCAATGTTTATTTCCTTCCTATAATTGTTAGAATATTGTGTCTGTGATGCAATGCCCAATGCATAAATCTTATCAGTTTTATCTGCATTCTGTAAAGTGGTTTGCAAATAAAGCGAAATCCCAATTACTGTTTCTGTTCTGTTTCCTTCATTTAACCTTTTTATTCGGAATACGGGTAAAACTCAACCATAGTTGGTTGTCTACGACTCAACTTCAATCAAGATGAAAGCAAAACCTAGATGAAGAAGGGAGGCATGAGAACAAGACGCTGAACAGGGGCACGGAGAGGGGAAAAGGGGGGGGGGAGGGGGTGTGCCTGCGCCTGCCCCCACAACACAGATGCCGCTCCGCGTGCTCGGCACACCGTATTTCATGTGCGGTCCAAACTTTTAATGCTTGTTTAATGAGAGCCACGCCAGAATGCCGGACAAGCTGAGCCGCCGGCCGAGGTGCGCGGGACTGCGTGTGAAAAAAGGAGGGGGGGGGCATGGCTTTTCAAAGGGTGAGTAGTAACAGGATTTACATCCGGCTCTCGTGAGATTCGAAGACGCTCATCCGAACCACCACAAACTTCTTTCCTTCGTGAGGGAGGGAAGCAGGACGGCAGGACGAGCATTCCCCCTCCCCCCACATCTAGTGTGTGCCCATGTAGGGCCTTGTCGAGCCCCCGGTGCTGCGGGAGAGGGGAGGGAGGGGGTGACGCGAACAGGGCAAGAAAGGTACACAGGTGGCCGACCCGCGCCCCGTGACGGGGGAGGGGGCTGCGTAGTGTGTTGGCGTGGTGTCACCCCTAGCCTGCCCAGCTCTGCCCGGAACGGCAGCTGCGCGCCCTGCACTGCTAGGGCCGAGCCAGGGGCCTAACTTCCTCCAGGATGCCTCGGGAAGCCCTTCCCCCATTATTAGCAAAGAGAAAAGATACAGCCGGCTCAAACAGAAAGGGCCAATAAATAATGACTCACGCACACAAGGCGACAGTGAACGAATTTCACCGAAAACAAAGAGAGAGGAAAGGACTTTGAGACATCCAGGCCGCGAAGCGCGAAGCCGAGGCGGAAAGGCATTACATTTGCAAAGCGACCGCGCCGGGGGCTGAGGGGGGCCTCTACGATTTATTCCTCTTCAGAAATGCCGCAGAGAGCGAGAGAAACCGCGAGGGTGGAGGGCTGTCGCCGAGGCCGTCGCCAATCAAGGCAAGTGCGGGCGTCCGAGCGAGCAGGCCCGAGCAGGCGCGGCGACCTGAACTCGCCGTCGTGAATCGGGCCTTAATTGGCTGCCGGACGTTTTCAAAGCCTCGATGGTCGAGGGGAAGGGACAGGGGGGGGGGGGGGGGCGTCCACACGACAATCACAAACCCATGCTGCCCCCGCCGCCCTGGCGCCTGGACCGCGTAGGTGGTGCGGGGCGGAGCGGGGCCACTCCGCACCCTTGCCGCTGGCCGCGCCGTGGCTGCTGCCTGCGCCGCGCGGCGCGCGCTGCGCCGGACGTGCCGAGAATCCCCGAGGCCCCGAAGTGAAGGCGGGGGCCCACCGCGGCACCGCGAACAAAGAAAGTCCCGCAGACAGGCATCGGCGGGGTGGGGCCCCCCGCGGGGCTGGTGGGCCGACGAGTATGGTGTGGTGGCGCTGCAGCGGCATGCCGGGCCGCGGCCGCCAACCCCCGCGATCCAGGCTCCAGCGGGGCGGGGACTGCGACGGAGTGACTCCAGCAACTCCAGCCCGCTGGCCCAGATGTCGCGCTCCACTGCGTCCGCCAGACCGTTTTGACGCGGGCGAAGAAGGGAAGGAAAGATTTTTCGGCTGGACTCGGACGGTGAGGTCTCAGGGTGACTCCAGGCGATGTGGTCGGCGCTGCTGGAGAGATGCTGGAGGAGAGCTTCTGGCTGGAAGGCAGTGGAAGGGCTCTTTTGAGAGGAGAGGTAACCGGGTTGGGTCGGTTCGCTACGATATTGGCCGCGCCGCCCTCCGCCCGCCCCCTGGCCCTCTGGCTGCGCTCCGGTCGCTCCAGGAGCCTCCAGCCCGGCGGGTAGACTGTCCCGCCGCGCAGGCGTGCGGTGCGGGAAGTGCAGGCAGAGGCCGCAGGCTGACGAGGCGGACGAGACGGCGACGCGGCGGGGCGGCCAGACGGATTCCGAGAGTCGTTTTCGTCGCTCTCGCTCGCTCGCGCTCATGGCCAGTGCCCCGTGGGTGCGAGAGAGACAGAGCGACGGGACGAGTCGGCCGGCGGGCCGGGGCGGGTCCGCTGCAGCACTCCTGCGGGCGCCTCGCCGGCGGCAGCGGCGCGAAAGGCCCGAGAGGGGGAGCGGGGCGAGGACCCGGAATGGGAATGCGGAGGGAAGTCCGTCCAGCTGGTACCGGCACTCAAACACGGCGACGCCGGAGCGAAAAAAAGGGAAATCTTGCATTTGCTGCATGTTTTTTTGGGAAAATGTCGAGTTACCGGGTTTGGGGAGTGAAGTGCTAACGTTCTAATCGAGTCAGATCTGGGGCCGCCGCTTATCCGGGCGGCACCATTGCGGCATAGGGCACGTGGCGCACGTGCCGCGGCACTGTGGAGTCTGTGGAGGCGACTAGGCCGGCAATCAGCGCCTTGTCAGCGCCTTTGCTTCGCCCGTCCGCCCCGGCCGCCGCCCTTCGCCATGCCGGGCACGTCCCCCCCCCCCCTCCCCCGACCTGGCTGAATTGTGGCAAATGTAACATACGGTCGGCCTTATTCAACCATACCACACTGGCTGTATGGGGTGCCGCCCGGGACACACACACTCACACATCTACTCACGCGCGCGAGGGGCTGGGAACGAACCCCGCGCCCCTTTCCCCCACCCAGCCCGCCACCCGTATACAGTGTATCATTTGGCGCCTTTTGACGCGGGGATCGCGAGAGGCGCGGGGAGTGGAAGTAAAAAAGGCGCGTCTTTCCGCAAGGCGGTGCAGTACGGGCGTCTTCGTCGCCTAACCTACGTGATGCACAGGTATACTTACGGTGGCGCCGCGCCCCTGCATTGCCTGCAGCGTGCGTGAGCGCGGAGAGGGGGGAGGGGGAAGCTCACTAATGGCGCTCTGATTACTACATTAATAGGCTTATTACCGTCGGACGAGCCAAGCACCCCCACCCCTTCCTAGCCCCCAATCCTCTCCCTCGGATAAAATAACGGGGCGGGTGATGGATTTATGAAAAATTGCGTCGGCGCAAGCGCGAAGGAGCGAAGGAAAGGTTGATGGCTCGACACCGCCGAAATTACAATTTTCAGTTTCTTGATTGAAGCACGTTGGGAAACTAGATATCTGGCGGGAATTCCCTGCTACTCCATCCATTCTCGTGACGTTGCCCGAAAGTGGGCAGCAATGTTCCCGTACATGTGTGTGACACCTCCCCCTCCCCTCCCCCATCGAACCCCCTTGCAATGGCCGCGGATCGAAAGCTGCCAGCGTCAGGTTGACTGATCGGGCAGGGATTAGTCTGCAGGATGAGACGGCAGGAACAGCGCGACGCTGGCAAGGCCTGGCAAGGCCTGCAACGCCACACCACCTGCGAGGCCGCGCCGTGCCGGCCGTGCCGCACAAAGGGAGGTAGGGGACGCAGACAAGCAGAGGATGACCGCCGGAAAAACGCTTTTCGTCGGCGTGGCTGCCGCCCCGCCCCGCCCACGGCCGGGTTTTTCATCCTCCTGGCCCTTCCTGCCGCCTCCTGCCCTGTCTCTGCTGTACGCCATCCCACGCTCCATTTCACGCCAGCGTTCACAAGCGGCAAGGGAGCGAGCGGACTGGCCGTCGGTGAGGGAGGCTTTTTGGGTGCTTCAGGTCCGGGCTGCCGCCGCTGCCGGCGTCCTGGACGACCGGCCCTGCATCTGCAGCAGGATCACCAAGTACGTGGTGATGGTGGAGATGACCTGCGGCACAAATAAAGACTTTCGGTTCTTCCTCCGCGCGGCTCAGGTAGATCCTTACTTTGGTGCGCGTTCCCTTTGGTGTGCGGCCTTCACGAGTGCGTCACCTTTTGAAGCTGGGAGTAGTCCAGCGGGAAGACTCCGGCCGCCGAGAAGCGCATCTGGAGGTGGAGGAGCTGGGTCTGGAACTCCTCCAGCTGCAACAGGCGCGGTTGTACACCCTGGGGCTCCGAAAGGAAGTCACCTGCTGCAGAAAGTAGTCACCTCCTCGCGGTCGGCGAGCGCGACGTTCTTTATCTGGAGTGCGTTGTTGACGGCGTTCGTGATCACGCTCCCCTGCAAAGGCCAGACGAGCGAGCACTCTAAGCATAAGAGCCCTAAAGTGGCCCCGAAATGGCAGGCAATCATTGGTGGGCCAGCCACTCAAATGCGACCGAGAGCCTGACCTCCGACTCCACCCACTGGCACGGCGTCATCAGGAGGGCCAGCTTGCTGACGGACACCAAGGCCCAGGCCGCGATGAGCGGCTTCCACCGCGAGTACTGCGACGTGATGGCGAAGAACAGGCCGTAGGTCGTCTGCGCACGCCCCGGCGAAAGTCGATTTGAAAACAAGCCATTTCACCCCACGGTATCATTTTCAGAAGTGGCCGGAAGCACCGACCTCTTGCAGGCACAGCGTGACGGACAGCAGCAGCTGCAGCGAGAAGGCGCTGTTGAGCTTGGAGATGGAGGTGTAGATGCACTCCTGTCGCGCTCGCAGCTGCCGCGTGGACTGCCTCAGCCCCGGCAGGTTGGCGACGTCGTGCTGCGACGCGCCAAAGTTCAAATCATCGTATCGCGCTTCCCAAGGACCCAGTCCTCTGACGACGCAACGCCTACCGCTCGGGCCTGCGCCTCCTTCTGCAGGCGCCGCGTGGCCCGGCTGAGGTCCTGGAGCTGGCGGTGCACGAGCAGCGCCAGGTTGCCGAACTGCAGGTCCGTCGTGAAGATGTACAGGGGCGGCACGTAGTTGGAGAACAGCGAGAAAACCTGGGCGGGGCGGGAAACCGTCGCCCGAATTAATTCCCATTCCCCGTCAAAGGGCCTTCCCTTGCCGGCCTCCGGCCAATAGTGCCCGACTGTACTCGGCTGCTTTGAGTCCCAGCAGGACCATCGACCGCCAGCAGTGCTGTCTCTCTCGCGCACCTACGCTACGCCGCATGAGTGCGAGAAAGACAGAGCGAGGTGACCGCTGTGGGGACTGCAGAGTGGATGGTTCACACGTGCGCGCTGCGCGTGTGCGGCGTTTTGTTTTCCACTGGGGAAACTAGAATAAGCCGTAATTGCTTCCGGGGGAGCCAACCTGGCCGGCCTGGCCGGCCTGCCCAGCCCGCGCGATGTGTCCGGCAGTCCGGCGGATTCGGGATTGCCAACCTCACGTCGAGAACTAATCCGGCCTTTTAATTGCTTTTGACCTGGCGATCGACCACTGTCCACCAGCCCACGGTTCATTTTATGCAGCCCAGCGTGGTCGCGCTCTCCAGTGGTGCCACCCCCCGGCCAGTCCCACCGCGGCCGATTCCGAGCAGTGCTATCTCTTTCTCCCTCTCTCTCGCACCCCTACAGGCCGTCCTACGAGTGCGAGAGAGACACGCCACCGCGGCCATGTTAATCCGGCGAATGAAATGGCCCGGCGAGGTGCATCGCATGGCACGTTTAGAATGAGATTTGCCCGACAAATGCCCGGCGGGTACAGCGGCGCGGATTATGTGTGGACGCTGGGATTCGAACACCCGATTCGAGTGTCGGACACAGACGCCGTTGCACTCGGCTACCATGCTCTTTGGACTACGGCGGGTGAGGCAATGTGTTCGTGCCGCGGTGGGAGAGCCAGCCAAAAAATGAAAAGATGTGTCAGGAATCGATCGCCCGACCCGAGAGTCGCGTGTTCCGAGGACTTTCTTTTACCAGTGGCGCCACTCACTGGAGAGCACGTGCGCCAGTGCGCCGGAGTTGTGTTTTTCTTTGCCCCTCCTTGACCACGCTGCCGGCGCGGGATCGGTTTTCTGACCTGCTCGAGCGCGCTCTTCTTGACGTGGAAGCTCCAGCTGAGCACGAACGTCCAGCTGAAGACGCTGGCGATGGCCAGCAGCTGGGCCCAGACGACCACGGCTTCGCCGCACCGACCCTGGCCCCGGCCTCGGCCCCGGTCGGGGTCGTCGCCCGGCCATCGGCCCAGCGCCTCGTACCGGAAGATGTTGTTGAGGGCACGCAAAACGTGCCGACGCCGCGCCAGGTTCACCAGGTGCAGGCACCAGGCGCACGTTCCCTGAGCACGCCAAGGCCCCCCGTAAGTACGCCAAAGTCCCCGCCCCGCCCACCCCTTTCGGCGGGAACCTATGCAGCGGAGCCGTCACCTTGGCGATGTAGGACACGCCGAACATGTCCGAGTAAAAGCTGCCCGTCATCGTCTTGTAGATGCGGGAGCACATGTAGTTGATGACGGCGATGTTGAAGAGGCACACGATCAGCGAGTACACCTCCCAGCCGCGCGAGCGCACCACGGCCGTGCTGGTCTGCTTGAAGGGCGCCATGCCGATGATCCTGGGGGTTGGTGAGCACGTTGGGTTGCCTGCCGCCCTGGCGCCGAGTACGAAGGGTTGCCTACCGCCAAGGCTCCGTCGCTAGATTGCGATGCCTTACCTGGAGAGGTGGAACAGGGTGCTGGCGCCGGGCCCCAGGGCGTGCACTATGCCGGGGGCCGCGCCGCGCGCCTGCTTGGAGGCCATGAAGGCCATGGAGGCCGGCAGGAGGGTCGACGGGAGGCTCGGTGACTGGTGTGGCGGTCGCAGACCACTGACGAGCCCGGTCGGCGCGCGGCCCTCTGCTAGCGTTCAGCCCCCCGAAAAAGACGGCGGTGCGAGAGAGCGCGCAACACGGGCGACACGGCAGCGAGACCAAGACGGAGAGAGACCGAATGTAACCCGACCGCCGGGCAGCGTGATCAATCTTTCGCGGAGCGTCCACTCTTTTTTCCTCCCTGCGTTCCCTCTAAGGGCAAAGGGGTCGGCTGGAACAGGCGTGTAAACCATCCCCCGGCCCGGTGCCGCGCTGCCGCGCTCGGCCAGGTCGGTCCGGTCCGTTCTGGTCCAATCGATTGCCGTCATTAAGAAGAGAGAGGGAGAGAGAGAGGGTGCGGTCGTAAACGCCCTGTGAGAATCACGTACGATGGCCGAAAACGGGCGATGGCCCGATAAGTGTTTGTTCTCTTTTCCCTCTCTTTTTTCCCGCTTTCCTGGAGCGAGTGGCGGAAATTGTGTTTAATCCGTGCTGCTGCTGCCCCACCGCCAAACTGGTACTGACTCCGAACAGTCGCTTCGTCGCTCTGTCTGTCATGGGGGCGAACCGTAGGAGTGCGAGAGAGACAGAGCGACGGACCGATTGTCCGTTTGGCGGGAGGGTATTGGCCGCCCCGCTGCCCCCAGCCATGCCCCGGCGAAAGCGGAGAAAGGTACTGAACGAATGCAGCGTCTGACCTTTGAAGTCCGATCCGGCAAGCGGGCGGATCGCATGTCTGTCTCTGTCTCGCCACAAAAAGTAAAGCGGGGATTCGCAACCCTCGGCCGGGGCCAGACTGCAGACTGATTCCGAGAGTCCTCTCTTTGTCGCTCGTCTCTCTCGCACCTATGCGGGGCGCTCCATGCGTGGGAGAGAGACAGAACGACGAAAAAAGTACCCTCGGAATCACTCTGCTGGGCCAGCCTGGGCCTTCCCCCACCGTCCACATTAGTTGATTACACCGTAACGTTGCTCGTCCCGGGTCCTGGATGTGGGGCGAGGCTGGGCAAGGCTAGGCACGCACCGCCGCGAATAGAGTGGCGACGATTGGGTGTGTATATATAGGTTAGGTTCGATATATCGAAGTGCGGCACGTGCTTATGGAGGGGGAAAAAAGGACACAGGCCCAAAGTTATCACTAGAATAGGTTTTAATCGACAAAAAATACAAACAAAAATAAAACAACAAAATAAAGCTTTTCTCTTAATTATCCCCAGAATAGATTGTCCAGGGTAACTACAGGTATGTGTTTCTGCTGTGATCATTGTTCTTTGCTTAGGTGGCACAGTGTAGGTTCTCTTGAGTACAGTTTTCTCCACCACGTACGTATACTCTTCTCAAAAAGCGTTTTGTAATCAAACTTTCAGTTAAAAAAAAACAACAAAAAAATTTTCCTTAATTTAGCTTATTTTCAATCGCTTTTGTCTTAATATAAGACAGTTAGACAAAACAAAGTGTACAGGAAATAAAAACAAACGAAACCAGAACTTCCATGCTGACTTTGCAAACAAAGTTTGGAAAAAAAAAAGAAAAAAACTAAAAAATAGAAATCTGCTTTCTTGTCAAAATGTGTACATTACGCTCTTGTAAAATAAGTAACTAGCTTCAAAATAAAATTACTAAAATCTATGGTACCTATCTACAAACTCAATCTCACAATGTACAATAGTGCGCACATCGTGCGTCGCTCGAAATATAAATTACACACAAAGTCATAAGTAACTCGGTCTATCGTATTTATAAGTTACATGTTAAGTGATAAGTCTTAAAACTTTCACAGCTCAAATTGATCACAAGGCGCTCCGGGCTCCTCTCCCCAGACCGCGGACTGCGCACCGACTGCCTCCTCCGTTTTCCGAACACGCACGCACCTCAGTCACCGAAAAAGAGAGCGGCGTTCCGACCCCTTCCGCAGGGTACCTTTCTCTCCCGGTGCCCATTTACATTTTGGAGCTGAGCACCTCGTCCTCCTGCTTGTCCTGCTTGCGGTCCGCCGGGCTGGACGGACTCTGCGGCCCGGCGGCGGCGGGCGCTCGGCCGGCCGCGCTGACGCCCTTCTCGTAGAAGGTCCAGGTGGGCATGTCCTGCTGCGTGTGCTGCGCGTGTGTCTCGGCCAGCTCGCCGCGCCGGCAGTCCTCGTCCGAGGCCAGGTTGTAGTCCTCCGTCCCCTTCCCCGTCCTCGGGTTGGCCTTCGTCCCCCCAACCTGCGCCTGCAACCACACACCGCAAACCGCCCGTCACTACTCGGCCCTCTCGTCCCAACCGCGGGGTTGGAGGGGCTGGTGGGGCCACCGTGAAAAAGAAAGGAGGGGAATGAGGCCGCCAGGGCGCTGGTGTCGCGATGGCCGGCGCGATGCGAGAATGCGAGACTTCCGAAGATGAGAGTGGCCGTTCGGTTCATCCGGCGCGGCGCGTCACGCGATTGCCAGGGATTGGCCGGGCCGAGCCGCTCGCCGAGGGAGAAGGGCCAGTCTGCCCTAATCCAATCGCAATCCGCAGTCCACTCCGATTGCAATCTCAAACGACTCGCGAGGCGCATCTCCAAGCCGAGGCCGTCGCCGGCACTGTCGCCAGCAGCCCCAGAGGTGTGCGGGAGGCGTTGCAGGGGGTGCGGGGAGTGAGGGGTGAAGGCCCAAGCCATCCGTCGGACCGGCGGGCAGGCAAGGCGACCGCGGCCACCGCAAGCAGGCTCTAGGCAGCTCTAGGGGAAGGGGGGACGGACAGGGGGTCTAGTCCTAAGGGCGTGGGGCATGTCAGGCGGTCGGGGGCGTTGGCGCTTCCAGGTTGACGAGGGAGGAGTACTGGCACAGCGACAAGGGCGGCTGCGGGCTGGCCACACCTACCTCCGTGCGCTGGTGGTGGTTGTGCGCGAAGGGCGGCGTGATGGTGGCCCTGCGCGCGCGGCCCCACCGCAGGCACCAGCACATCTGCGGAAAGGACAAAAACGAGGTCGTCAGCGCGTCAGCGAGCACGAGTTGCGAGTAAAACCCAGCGGCTGTTCGTTAGAGAGGACGCTGCCGACTGATCGAGGAAACACTCACCGACATGCTGATGGTTCGTCTGGCGGCGGGCTTGACGCGGAACTTCATGACGAGCACGACGACGGACACGCCGAGGACGCTGAGCGCGGCCAGCAGCACCAGGATGACGATGAAGCGCGCGTCCGCCTCCATCTTGGGGCAGTCCGGGCTGTCGATGAGGACGTCGCGCGCAGTGCCGGTGGAGGCCGGGGTGGGCTTGCCGATGACGGCGCTGGCCTCCACGTCGGCGGCCTTGGTCGCGGCCTCCTCCGTGCCCTCGTTGATGGGCCGGGCCGTGCCGCCGCGGGTCACGCTCCTCGCGGCCCCGGTCGCGCTGGTGGCGGTGGACGGCGTGCTCGGCAACTCGTTGTCTGTGGGTTCTGCGGTCTCGACCTGGGGCGCAGGGGCTCCAATCGGCTTGGTTTCCTCGGGATGGTAAACCACAGGGGTGGCCTCGCTGGAAGCGGCCGGCGGCGCCGCGGCGTCCGTGTGGTCGGAGTTCTGGACGGCGCTTGTGGTCAGATCCTCGGATATTTGTTTAGTGGCCGAAATGTCCGGCACGTTGGTCAGCGGAATGGGCGCTTCGCTCGATGAAAGTGGACCTTCGCTAACATGAATAGCCGCTTCTTCGCTGGCCGGAAGTGAAGCTTCGCTCACCGGAAGTGGCCCATCACTGAAAGACGCAGGTGCTTCGCTGACTGGAGGAGCTGCTTCTCTGGCTGGGGGAGGCATTTCGCTGAACGGGAGCGTTGCTTCGCTGCTTGCCGGAACCACCGCCTCGCTGGCCGGAAGTGAGACTTCGCTGGCCGGAAGAGGAGCTTCGCTAGTAGAGACAGGTGCTTCGCTGGCCGGAAGTGGAGCTTCGCTTATAGATACAGGTGCTTCGCTGGCCGGAGGAGGCACTTCGCTGGACGGTGCTTCGCTGCTTGCCAGAACTGCCGCCTCGCTGGCCGGAAGTGGTGCTTGACTGGTGGACACTAGCTGGGCGGCCGGATCCTGGCTGGGGTCCGCGCCGGCCACGAGGACGTGGTCGAAGGCGCGGCCGCGGCCCTCACCCACGTCGCGGTGTGGCGCTGTCTCCTCCGTCGTGGCTGCCTCCGTGACCATGGCGTCCGTGTTCTCCACCACGACCGTCACGGCGACGGCGTCCAGGCCTTCAGACACTTCGGGCACCGCCGTGCTGGGCACCGTGTCCACGACCACGTTCGCCACGGCGTCCATGCCGGTGGTCTGCGCCGGCAGCTCCGTGGAGAACACAGCGGACTGCTTGTCCGCCTCGGGCGCCGGGTCGCCGACTTCGCTGTGAGCCTCCGCGACGTCCTCCTTGACGGGGGCCACGGTGGTTGCAGTGTCGTCCTCTGCCGCTGGGGCGGTGGTCGTGAGCACGGCGTCCTCGACTGACGGTGTGGTCGTTTCGCTCGGGTCCACGTCCTCGGGGTTGGCGGTCGCAGCAACGTCCTGCCCTGCCTCCGGTGTGGTCACGGCGCCTTCCGTTTCGGCCGGCAACACCGTGGTCGCTTCCTCTCCATCTGGTGCGACGGTAGACGCCGAGGTGTCCTCCCCCGCCATCGGGACGGCGGTCGAAGGAACCTCCTTGGCTGGCTGCGGGGCGGTGCTGCTGACGGGGTGCCCTGCGCCTGCCCGCTGGACGCCATCGGCTGACACATCCTCCGCCCGCGGCGTGTGCCTGGCGGGGACCGGCTCGACCTCGTCCACGGACTCTGTAGTTACGCTCTCTGCCGGCATGATGGTGACAGGCGCCTCCTCCACTCGCTGAGTGGGCCGCGGGCCTGCCTCGGATGGCGCGGCCTCGGTGCTGCTGCTGGAGGGCTCGGGCTTATTGACGGCTTCGGCTGATGTGTTCTCAGCCGCCGGCGGGATGGGCGTGACTGGGGCGTCCTCGCGCTCGGGGGTCTTGTCCTTGTCGGCGGTCTGGCTGGGCGGCGCCGGCAGCACTTTGATGTCGCCGGCCCCGGGGATCAGGTTGGCGGCGTCCTCGGTGTCGTTCCCCTGCATCCTGGGCGCGGTGGCGGCCGCAGGGGCGTCCGTCTGCGAGGACGGCATCAGCACCAAGATGTCCGGCGACTCGACGTCCGCCTCGGGCGTGTCCAGCGGCATGGCGCCCACGGCGGCCAGCGCCAGCACTGCAACAAAAACACCAGACAAGAGTGAGCAAAGCGAGTCTAACCTTCCAAGAGAAGTACTGTGTACATGAACTAATCGAAACAGAAACTTAGTTTAAAACGGTTATCTCCGCAGAGTTACTTTTCACGAGGTAGGATAAGGATAGGGTTGGCGAGGACAGCCATTCTGCCCTCTCCCTCGCCACATCTCACTAGCAGGCACGGCCAACCGAGCCATGGCAGTCCTAGGGCATGATGGCCTCTCGGGCCGTGGGGAAGGGGGAAGGGGCAGAGAGAGACAGCCAGGTCTGGCCAGGTCAGCGCGCACGGCCCTGTCCCGCCCTGTCGCAGACCATCCCGGGGCCAAACAGACAGCTGACGACCGAGTCCGATCGAGCTAAGGGGGCCTCTCTCGACTCGGCGGTTCGGCGGCAACGAGGTAGGAATGGTTGCCTGCCCACCCGGCGCTCTCACTCCAGGGAGGTGGTGGTGCGCGAAGGGTTGCCTATCTGCGCCACCGCGGGCGCTCAGGGGACTGAAAGTGGCGATGATGGAGCAAATCGTTTGAGGCAGACGGACACGTCTTATGACAGTTGGAACCCCGACGCACTATGATTTTCCAAGTCACTTCACGGCGTAATTTCGTTGTGTAACTTTACGGGGAACTTGTGGGGCGGCAAGGCAGGCGGGCAGTTGACCCGCGTGACATTCGATACTACGGCGCTCCGTCTCTAGCACTCGAAAGACGCTCCTCGGGGGTGCGAGAGAGACAGAGCGACGGAGTCCTCTTCGGAGTCAGCCCCGTGGTCCCTCGGGCTCAAATTGTCGCGCGCGAGGACGTGATCACTTGACCCCCCAACGGATGGAGGCCGTCGCGCTCCCGTCCGGCCCCGCCGGCCCCGGTCCGGTGGCCAGCCCGCCAGCCACACACGCCAGCCCCGGGGGTGATTGACGCGCGGGCGGTATGGTTGCTCAGCTGCTCGATGTGCTGGTCGCCGCTACGTCGCTCGCGTCGGTGTGGCGAGGCGAATCCCTTGACGAGGGGTGACACGCGGAGAACCAGTGGGGAAGTGGGGAGGCATGCCGAAGCCGCCGCCGCCGCCAACAAGTTGCCCTGTTTTCTGTTTCTCACTTCTCGGAATTGGGCTGGCCTCTCCGCTTCGGCCTCGAGAGCGTCCTCCTCCCCCTCCGCCACCCCCTCCCACCACACCCACCCAAGCGCGGACAAAACTGTGCTCCGGCGTGCTGGTGCTCTGCGGCAGAGGGTGCGGCTTTTGGCTGGGAGTGTCCCTCTCTTTGAAACCGCCCGGCCGAGAGCCAGGGCAGCCAGCGGCAGCCAGGGCCAAAGCCAGAGCCAGGCCCGGCACGGCGACTTCCCGTGTGGCATTCCGTCTCCGGAAACGGAAGCGATGATGCTGCGGGCCAAGACATTAGCATGCATGGGGCTGCGTGCGAAGCGCGAAGCGGTGCCCCGCCTCTTTCTGCCACACCGCGCCCCGCCCCGCAACGCCCCGCTCCGATAACTTTGGCGAGTGCGTCCTCTGGGTCGTTGGCACGCCGTCGCCAAGCCGTCGGCGGAGCGGATGACGACGTGTAGTTGCAGCCCTGTTAACAGTTCTATCCAGTTATAGTGTGGGGGGCCATACCCGCGGTGCGTGCCGCCGGCCTTAGCTGTCCGGCCGCAGGCACTGCTTGTGGTCGTCGGCGTCACGGGGGCCGGACGTCGGGGCGGGGCGGGGCGGGAGTAAATCCCGTAATCCGAGGCCCCGGCCTGCCCCGTCCCGACGCCCCATCGGCAACCCTTTAGGCCGGCCTCCGTCCTGCTAACTCGGGCCGAAGGTTGTCGCGCCGAATCGCCCGACCGCCGCGCTCCAGCCCCTCCAGCCCCTCCAGCCGCATCAGCAGCGCGGTGGCGGCAGCGCAGGGCCGATGTGACGATCAGGGCCAGACGACCACGGTGCCGTGACCGCCACTCCAAAGTTATTGCTAGTTCTGGGGCGCGCCGCCACGGCGTTGCTGCGCGCTGCCGACGGCGGCGGCGGCTGACAGCCAAGGGATAGGGATGGCCGTGTCACGGTGTCACCGCGACGACGACGACGAGGACGGCGCCGGGGCAAGTTTGAGCGGCGGCGCCGGGGGGAGACGACGCGTGGGAGGGTCGCCGACGACGCACCGCCGCATGCCGCGCCATGCCGCCATGCCATGCCGCCCCCCGGGGCGGTACCGCCGCCAGGCCGGGGGGTCGACATGATGGCGTTCTGCTGTTATTGCAAATTGGAACTGATTAGGCCGACAGCGGGACCAGCCGGGACAGGCCGCGTTGTGTATACACGCCACACGGCGCGGCGGGGTCGCAGCCCCGCGCCCTCGCTGTCCTCCAGGATCCCACCGTCCTCCCCGCCGGTCTCCACGACGAAGGCCGGGGCGCGCCGGCGAGCCTCGCCATAACTAATCCCGTCCGCCGGGGCGTCTTGGTGCTCCTCGCTCAGGTGCATGACGCCACCCTCCTCTCGGGGCGCGGCACGGCGCGGCACGGCGCGGCACGGCCAGGCGGCCCACTGGGCCAGACTGTTGATGTTCCAGTTGTCGCTGCGAGGTTGTCGTCTGGAGAATTACAATGGATTACCCCCCCCCCCACCCCTCCCGGGGCATTGTTCGAGCGTTATTATTGTCCGGCGTCGCCGGAACTCCGGCAGCCTCGGCAGCCCAGGAGCAGAAAAGAGAAGGGGTGGGGGCGGGGCGGGCAAGGCTACAGGCAAGGCAGGCAAATGGAAGTGATCCGGGCTGTATATCACTCTCGATCACCTCCCAGCCTTCCAGTGGCCCGTGCTAATTGATGGCCAATTTAACCGGCGACTTGCCGCGAAACGGGAAGCGCAAAAGGAGGAAAAACAGTGCTCAGTTTTTCGTTTTCTTGGGGGAGGGAGAAACGGGGAGGGGGAAGTGTCCTGCTCCACGACTCATAAAGGAATCCCTGGCCGATAAATCGAATAAAGTTGATCCCCATCACGTCCGGATGAGACTCGGCCAATGTGATCACCGCCCCTCTCCCGCCCCCAGCAGGTCCTCGCCGTGCCATCTCCGGCCATGTCCTCCTATCTCTGGAGCATCTCAGCAGATCCCCGCGCCGCGTCCCTCCTCGCCGTCCGTCCGTCCACTCTGTAACGCGTTTACGCCACGCCACGCCACGCCACGCCCGCACACGCCGCGCCAGCCCTCGTTACCGACTCACACTCAGCGCCACGCCGCGCCACGCCGCGCCACCCCCTTCCGCCCGCGTGGTCATCGCCGGATCAGTGTCGGGTCCGGGTGTCGGCGGGCACTGCGCGCTGCTGCCTGCTGCTGCTGATGAGGACCCTATCCGTCCGTCCGTCCGCCCGTCCGGCAGCATCCTCCGCCCGGCCGTCCTCCATTTACCCGCATAACTCCCCCTGGTCCACCAGCTTCACCTGTGCATTAGTCCCACTGCTGCATTACATTCCAGCAGCCTCCCCCACCACTCAATCATCGCCCGGAGGAACTCCGGTGGAGCAGCAGGGCAGCAGGGCTTTACCTGCGGCCTACCTGTCGACCCCCGGAGCCGCCCGGACTGGCCGCCCGGACCCGACAGTGGAGGCTGCAGCGCCGCCGTCGTCGTGGGCGACATCAATGGACATGTAGAGATAAAGTGTAGGGGCAGCGAGGACGCCGAGGACGCCGATGGTCCCTAAAGAAATGGGCCGGTCGGTAATCCTGGCCGCCCGATTGGACACACACGCGTCATTCCTACACCACAACACGCTGGTGGCGACGTAGGCGACGTACTAAACCGTATCAGATGCTGTCCCGACCTGTCGGAGCCTGAGCGCCCTGAGCCCGAATTGGTACACTGTGCGTTTCATGATCCGAATGCTGCTTCTCATGAAGTCGGCCACCCCTACCTGAGTTTGTTACTTTTCATTGTCTCGGGTCGGCCCGGCCGATGGCGGGCTCAAGATGAGATTCGAAGCGCGCGTCGCATCGAAAAACATATCAAACCTGTCCATTGTAAGCACACGACGCGCGCGCACACACACACGCACGCACACACACAGGGGCAACACAAACACGCGGAGATACGGGCGGGCTGCAGGCCGCGGCACCGCGCTGTGGCAGGCTCTTGTCATTTTGATAGACAGGGGAGCGGGGGTGGGGGAATTAACATGTGATGGTGGAAGACGCTGTTGACACAAGCGGCAGTGAGCGATATGGGCAACGGCGGCAACGACGCTATTCGCACGCGGCGGTGACTGCGGTGACTATGCGCAGGACTGGCAATTAATGAATCCGTCAGCCATTCATTGAATTCGTCATCCCGGCGCGGGAATGATGACGCGCGCTCGGGGCTCGGGGAGGGGACGGCCGCGGGGACGGCCGCGGGGAGGAGGAGGGTGGCCGTCGACCGCCAGACCGCGCGACCCTCCGCGAGCAGCCCGCTAAGGCCCAAAGCCAGGACCTCATCCCTCTGGGCCGGCCCGCCGGTCCGCGGTCCCTGCCCCGCAGCCCGGCACACTGGCGTCCTTGTTCTCGTGTAGGACGTCTTGCGCTTGTTAGAGGAAATCCAGCCGTTGGTGCGCCTTTGGCGTTGCTCGGCGTGCTCGGCGTGCTGGTGCACGGCCACAAAGGAACGCGCCGGCCCCGCCGCCCCCGCCAGACCGAGTTTTGCGCCGGGGGGCAACTCTATTCCCCGAATAAAGAGTGAATGCACAGGCTGCGCGGCCAATATCATAAATAGGGCTTATTGAGGGGCGGGGCGGCCGGGGGCGGCCCGGCGGAGGCAGGTACAGTCCGCGCCATGAAGCCGAGGCCCGCGGAGGAGAGGCCGCGCCGCAACAGGTGAATGCAGCCAAAGAAACTCGCCGGAGCTTCGGCGCGGTCCGGGGCTTTTCAAAGTGCCGTGGTTATTGGGGAGAGGGATGCGGCGGTACAGGCGGCGTCAAAACGCGCAGTGTACAGGCAGCGTGGAAACGCTCGGTGAACCCGACCCCGGCGACTGACCGGGCCGTGTTTGCGAGTGTAGTGCCGCCGCACCCTGCGTGCGACGTCTGCAGATGCGTGGAGCGTCCACGGCGGAGCGTCCCGATGGCTTCCCCGGTTCCCTATCAGCGTATCAGCATCATCTGGGTGACGCTGGATTTGATTTACGGCCGAGGCTCCCTTCACGTATACTGATCCCATTTGCAGCGCGCACTGTAGTTGCCCGCCAAGCGTCGCAGACTCGCAGAGCGTCGCCAAGCGGTGCGTGATTCATCCGCACTCTGATTGTACCGAACAGAGTCCGTCTCTCTCGCACCCTGCAGAAACGCTCCATGAGAGAGACGGACAGGACAGAGCGACGACAGTCGAAAGCAGTTTTGGGCCGGCTTATTTCCCCCTTTTCCTCTTTCGGCAGCGGGGCTGCAGAAAAACCGAGTTTTTGAATAGACTGCAGGTTGTGCGTATCAATCGAAAGGAAGAGGGGGAGGGTCACAAGAGCCGGAATAAACGGCGTCAACTTTCCGACGACGGCGACTGCAGACCGGACCGAAAAGTTATGTCGCCGCGGACGGGCCGACGGAGCGGGGCGGCCGTCAGTGCGGCGCGATGACGGCTCCGGCAGCGCCTGGCAGTGCCCCGCCCCGCAGCCCGGACGCCCGACTGACGTTTCATTTTAATTTCTTCTAAACGACCGGCGATGCCAAAAGTTCATTTTCCGTGTCAATGACTTCTCTCTCGCAATTTCGGGAAGCAAGACGGGGTGCTTTGTCGCAGCGAGGAACGAGGTGCATTGTGCAGGGGACAGCCGTGCAAGCAGCCCCCCCCCCCAATGGCCCGGGCAGGATTCAGTACGGCAACGGCGGTAGATACACACCGTAAAAGAGGGGGGAAATACGGGAAAAAATCGCCCGCAGACTTGGTTTGGTGACGAACTAATTCAATCATGAGCAAACGGAGTTGATGAAAAAATAAAAATCGATGAGCGTCCTCGCAGTGGCGCGGCGCTGCGGACCATTGCCCCAACACGGCCAAGGTTGGGACGCCATTACACCATTACCGTTCCCGATTGCTTTTCCGCTTTCACGCATTTTCGCCCGCCAGCGCGCCAGCAGGCCGAGTCGCTCTGTCTCTCTCGCACTCACGGGGAGAGGCGCCGAGGACTCTCGATCCGCTCCCAAGAGTCGCAGACTGCTCTCGCAGCGTCGCAGCCCCGAAAGCGGAAACGGGTAAACGGGTACCTGCGACCGGGGCGGGATAATCCGCTGGGCGTTGGACCACGCCGACACGATTCAAACTTCCTCCGCTAAGCGGATCATTCCGGAAGACGGCGGCAGGTTCAATACTCACCGAGGACGAGGAGCGGCGACGAAAATCCTGCCATCCTGGTGGCGAAGCGCTCTCCTTGGCACAGGTGTGACACACACTCACTCACACGCACACTGTCACACGCGCGAACACACACTCACACACTGGCACGCGTGACACGGGGCTTGACGAGACACAGACTGCCAGGCATCCGCCCACCGAAACGCTGTTGGGCCCCGACACCGCCAGGCCCGCCAGGCACACACTGACACCGCTCCGAGTCCTCCGAGTACTCCGTGCGCGACGACGGCTGTCCACCACGGCCACGGCGCGGACCGGCTGGAGGAGGATGCAGCTCCGCACAACACGCACTGCACCGCTGTGCTGCAGTGTGCTGCACGCCGGCCGGCACAATGACCCACGCAGCAGCAGCAGCAGGCAGCAACACGCCAGCCGCCCGGCGACGAATCCCGGCGGGGAAGCAGGGCCGGCGGAGCGGGAGGCGCGCGGTGGGGGAGGCGAGGGGTGCGCGGGGCGCGGCCCGCCGGGCTCCCTTCTTTCATCTGTCGAGGGCTGGCGTGGTTAGCTCTCGGCCTCCGGGCAGGGGAGTCTTTTGTCGGGGCCCTCGGGCGGGGAGGGGAGGGGTGGGGTGGGCTGAGCGGACGGCGGCGGCGGTGGCTGGTGTAGCGGCGGCGGCAGCAGCAGTGGGGTTTATGAGGGACTGCCCGGGGAGGGGAGGAGCGGGGCGGCTCACGAATTACCGATACCATCCCCCCACCACCGCTGCATGTGCGCCAGTTTCCCGCCACCGGCCCTTCTTTATCACCAGGCCCATGCCCTTCCGCAATCGGCAGCCCTGCAGGCAGGCCGGCCGGCCCTTTGGCCCAACCCTTTCCGTTCAATTAGGGCAAAGGGAGGGGGAGCGAGCGGGGAGATGCAGTCCTGCAGTCCACTAACAAAATCAACAGCAACAACGTGGTGGTGGTGTGTGCAAACACGGCGTGACGGATGGCTTCGCGGGAAGGAGGAAGTGGATGGGGATGATGACCTCACAGCGCCACGCCGCGCCACGCCCGCCACGCCACGCGCCTTTCAGCGAGCGTCAAACCTTGACGGAGCTGACAGCTGTGCTAAATTTTTGGAGCATCCCCGCCGGACAACTCTGTGGTGCTGCATAATGGACCGGGTCCTGGAAGGCGATGGCAGTCGAGTGTCTGAGTGAGAGGCTCTCGAGGCTCTCCATTCGGAAATCGGGGGTAGGGGCGATTTTGTGGCAATTACGTACAGTGCAGGACAGATCATAGAATGGCGTTCTCATTTCTCAGTGGTGCGGGTTCCGGCCGTGTTTTTGTTCCCGCCCCCAGGCCATCTGTAGTCTGGTTGATCAATAACCAGAGTAATGAAATGGGCAAAGTAGTGTTCATGACAGTGGTTGTTTTTTCGGGCGGCTGTTGCTATGCGCGCTGCGTGTCGAGTTCGGTTAGCCGGCGCGGCCGTCGCGCTGCAGGCTCCGAGTCGTTTCGCGCTCTCTGGCGCCTCTCCGTCGCACTCACGGGGCGTTGCGGCGTTCCGCGGGGCCGCGACACTTCGGAACCACCCCGCTGTTCGGATGGCCCCTGGTGGTGTTCTCGTGATTAATTAGAGGATAGATCAGCAAGCCGGCGAGGCGGAGGGGAGGGGGAAATTGGATTTGTTGTGCCGTGAGGAGCCGAAGGGGCCGGACTACGTACTCAACCAGCGGTGCCGCCGGCGCCGGCCGCCAGGGCGCGCGAGTGGCGCGAGTGACGCGGGGCTGTGCAAAAGCCGTTGGCCCGGTCGCGGTTTGGGACAAGCCAGACCGCCGGCCCTCCCACTTCCCACACTGCACGAGACACTGCGAGTCACGGTCCAGCCGCACTGCCGCCTTGCCGCCTTGCCGCCCGCGTCATCTTGGCGGCAAAATGGGATGGAGTAAAGGGGGGGGGGGGAGTGTGTGTGTGGGCCACCACCAGAGGGCCCGTCGGGCCGTCTGCTATTTCTCCGGATAGGCCGCCGCGCGGGGCGGAGAGCGTGGGGAAGAGAGAGACGGAGAGAGAGAGAAACGCCGAGGGGGAGAGAAGGGACCGGAAGTGGCGTTTACGAGTGCCACCAACAAACTCCGCTAGCCCAACCAGCCCCACCCGAACGCGCGTGGCGTCTTCATGGACGTCTATTACTCGACGAGATTGCGCTGGGAAGCACGCGGCAGTTTATACCATGATATGGCATGGGGTGGCATTTATGTGTGGGGAAGGCGTGGTGTGTGTGTGTCCGTGCGCGCGTGTGTGCGTGTGAGCGCGTGTGTGAACCCATACAAGTACTCCGGCCGTTCATGACTAAATATCCAACTCCATCCACTCCTTTCCACCGCCTTATCTCCGCCCTCCCCCATTCTGTCCCCGCGGAATCCACTTGGCCGCCCTACATGGTCAGCCCTGATACAATCGCAAATCCCTCCCGTTTCCTACCCGGACCAGACCCCGCCGGACCCCTCAGCCCTCAGCTTCCCGGTGCCCTGCCGCGCCCTGCCGCCCCCGCGCCGTTCCGCGCTCCTCGCGGTTGAGCAGTTTATGCAGGCGGGGAGCGTTTCGCAGCGTAGATCTGTCGGCGCTCTTCTATCCTCCTCCTTCTTCTTCTTCTTCTCCCGGGACGCCCCGACGTCTTCCTTGAGGACTGCAGGGCAGCGCGTCCTCGCTGTGGCCGCCGCCGTCGCCAGGCCTCCGGGCCTCAGCGCCTCTCAGCAGGCACTCAGTCGGATTGACATTGTTACATAAGTACAGGCGTCGTGGCCGTCCAGAGGCCGTCCAGAGGCCGTCCAGGGCGGCGCGGCAAGGGCCGTGCGAGCGGCGCCACCCACCACAGGGCCACCAGGGCCACCAACCACGCCACCCTTAATTTCCGGCCGTCACATATCCCACTCCCCCCTCGCCCTTCTTTACTCCCTTATGCCTCTCTCTCACACTCACACACACACACACTCACACAAACACAGATAGCCGGCTCGCTTCCATCCCATATCTCTCCCCGCAACACCCACTTGGCGCGCCGCTCTCCCCCCCCTCTCTCTCTTACGGTTTCGCGAGCCGCATGTTCTTGCAGCAGCGAGCCGACACAAGCCTCCGTCGTGAACCTGATTGTAAGCAGCCGCGTCTCCCTTCAGCGAGAGAGTGAGAGAGAAAGGTGGAGCTGGGTCTAGAGGTACGCAAGGCCCGGTCCCGTTCGGCCAAACCGACCGACCAACCACCGCAGCGCGCGGGTGGATCTGTTTGCTCGTCAGGATGGGAGCTGCGGCCGCCCCCCTCCCCCTCCCCTCCCCCTCCCCTTTCTCCTTCCAGCCCCGTTCACCATGATAAAGGGTGCGGCCGGGACGCATTCCCGCCTCCAGCCATGCATTCCTGCAGGTGTAAGCGCCACGCCGCGCAGCCGCAGGCACACACACACACGCGCGCACACACACACACACACACGCACACACACACACACACACACACACACACACACACACATACAAACACTACACCTACACACCCACGCGGATGCAGCCCTGACCTCATTCACTAGGTCCCTCGCGCCCCGATTCTTCCGAGCGTGTCTTCCAGATAACCCAGTGCAGTGGTAGGCCCGCTACCCTCCCCACTCCTCCAGCCAGCAGAGGGTGCCTGCTGTGCCACACATGCGGCACATTCTGTGTTTCTTCTTTTTTCGGCCAACGTATTCGGCAGCTTGGCCGATTTGTATCCCCTTCCTCATGTGAGCGAGTGTGTGTGTGTGCGTGTGTGTGTGAGAGTGCGAGTGAGAGTGTGAGTGGGCCGCTGTCCACAGAGCGACACACCGCACCCGAAGCCCGGAACGCAGCGCGCAGTAACACACGGCACAGCTGTGGCGCCACCAACACACACCTACCAGCACACACGCCACGTCACATACAACACACATGAACTTACGCACTCACACACCAACACATTACACGCATAAGCGCGCGCACACACACACGGCCAGAGTGCCAAATCTCTTCCTAATCCCTTCACACTCCTCATCTTCCGTCTAAACACGCCCCGGCACGCCGTCGTGCGACTCCGCGCGCTCCAGCAGACTGATGCCGAGAGTCGCTTTCGTCGCTCCGTCTCTCTCGCACCTGTGCGGGTCGCTCCGCGAGTGCGAGAGAGACGGAGCGGCATCAGTCTGGAGGCGCGGCGTGCCAAGCGGGGCCACGGCACTGCAAAGCCTCGGCAAGCCTCGCAGGGCGCTGGCGGCGCTGCGGTGGCCCCCGGAACTACGGCCGCAAACACAGCGCACAGGTGGCGCTAATGAGACACACACGGACACTGGGGTCATTCTTTTTTTGGCGGCAGTTTCCCCGGGTTTCGGTTTTTGGAATCGAACACTTTAGCGGAAGCGGAGGTCGGCGCAGCATGTAGGGGCTCGCTCCAAAGTGCACAGTGGGCCGGACGAGGGCCGAGGGCTGCCAAGGACTGCCAAGGACGGAAGCGAAGTGCGGCGAAGGGCCCGAGGCTGGAAAGGGGGGGGGGGGAAGGGGGGCCCTTTGGACGGGCCAATCCCTTCCCCAGCATTGTGCGGTGAAAACGATTGCTTTTGTCTCCGCTCTGGTTTTGAAGAGTGTGCTGTGTGTGCTTTGTGTCTGAATGTGCTGTTTGAGGGTGTGTGTGGGCGTGTGTGTGCCTGCTGTATGCGAGTCGCGACCGGGCGCTGCACACGGCGCTGTGTGAGTGTGAGTGCGAGAAAGAGAGAGAGAGGGAGACAGAGAGAGAGAGAGAGAGAGAGAGAGAGAGAGAGAGAGAGAGAGAGAGAGAGAGAGAGAGAGAAAGAGAGAGAAGACGGTCGGCGACTGCGGCCGGCGTGTGGTGGGATTTCTATATACTAGATACCACGCGATTGAGATCGTCTAGTTTAGTTCAGCGGGACGGAAAATTCGGGGAAATGCTGGGCCAAGGACTCGGTGACAAAGCGTCAAACGGTCGGCGAGTTTCCCTGCACTGACCTTTCCCTTCGCATCGCGGACTCGCTCTGTCTCGCTCCCGCACACAACGCGCGTGCATTGCGCACGTGTAAATCATCGCTGTCACCCCGAAAGTTAATAAAACACGGCTTACGAAATTGATACGTGCAGCTGGGAGGGGAAAGAAGGTCACTGGTGCAGGCCTGCCTGCCTGCCTGCCTGCCTGCCGCCGGAGGGAGGGAGGGTGAGTCGCCGTTTGCGTGCGATGTGTGCGCGTCCAAACGCGCCAAAGCACTCTTTTTTTGCGCAACGTTTTTCGCCAGCGCGTTTGAAAAAGTGAGGGGGGGGGGGGTTACTGGGAACGGCACTGTAGGGACACACACTGGAGGAGTGTCCCTTCGTCCATCTAAACGCGCGAGGGAAACCAGACGACGAATCCGCTCTTGAAGTCCTAGACTACGTGAGACCACAAGATAGTAG